TTTTTTTTTTTCTTTTTGGATCACACCTGGCGATGCACAGCGGTTACTCCTGGGTCTGCACTCAGGAATTACTCCTGTAAGTGCTCAGGGGACCATATGGAATGCTGGGAATTGAACCTGGGTTGGCTGCATGCAAGGCAAACGCCCTACCCATTGTGCTATCTCTCCAGCCCCCTAGAAAAATGGTCCTTGGGGCTGTGGGGGCCAGGAGAAAGCTCAATTACTGCTGTGTTTGGCAGAACCCAGGTTTGTGGGAGAGCACAGTTCTCTGAGCCACCACATGTGGCCCACTCCAAAAATCCTGAATTGATGACAGGACTAATTTTCACTACGTATTCGTATTGCGACAGACTGGAGCCATTAGGGGTGTGGGGGCATGCCTTGCACCAGCTACCCTGCTTTACCCAGCACACACATCAGTCCTTTGAGCACCTCTGGGTGTGCTCTGGAGAGCTCTGAGCACTGTCAGAGGAGCCTGGGTTGATCCTGGCATGTTGGGGCCTCATTGAGGCCCCAGCCTTGAACCCTGGCCCACCCTAGAATCGCAGGAGGGTCCCCAGACTTGAATACCAGGTGGAGACCCCCATAATCATAACCAAACAAAAAGCAAGTAGATAACAAACTTGAAGTTCTTACTATATTTGAGGCATCCTACGGGGCAGATTATATACTTCATCTTACTGACTTTTCATAACCCACTTGTGAAGTAGGTATTATTCATTCCATTAAAAAATGGGGGACTGGGGCTGAAACGATAGCACAACGGGTATGGTGTTTGCCTTGCCGACCCGGGTTCGATCCCCAGCATCCCATATGGTCCCCCAACCACCACCAGGAGTAATTCCTGAGTGCAGACCCAGGAATAACCCCTGAGCATCGCCAGGTGTGACCCAAAAAGCAAAAAAAAAAAAAAAGAGGGGCACCCCCACCCTCACTTTTGGTGAACAATAAAATCGGGGAGGTTGGCTGAGAGCTGGTGCAGTGGGTAAGGCACTTGCCTTACACACGGCCAACCCAGGTTCAACCTTTGGCATCACGTACGGTTGCCTGAGCACCAAGCCGTAAGCACTGAACCTTGAGCATAGCTGGGTATGGCCCAAGAAACCAACAAAAAGAATAGTTGTGAGGGTCCCGACCAATGCTTCAGAGGCTGACTTATTTTTTTATTAATTTTTTCTTAATTGAACCACAGTGAGAGACACAGTTACAAAGTTGTTCATGGTTAGGTTTCAGTTATACAATGTTTCATCACCCGCCCCTTCATCAGTGTGCATTTCCTATCACCCGTATCTCAGTTTCCCTCCCGGCTCTCTCCCACAGCCTGCCTCTATAGCTCATGGCCCGGCTCTCTCTCCCTCTCCCTCTTTCCTTCTCTCTCCCTTCTTCTCCCCCCCCCATTTTAGATTAGGAAGAGAACAGTCCGGTGCCTGAAGGCATGTCAGGCGACACCCCCAAAGTGAGCCAAGTGCAGTCCCGCTACAGACAGCAGGACTGGCCCTTCAGGCCCGTCCCCCTGAACGCGTCCTTCCTCTCTTCTCTGCCCACACATCTTTCTGAGCAAGTTTCCTTCAATAAATACGATCTTGCTTCACCAAAAACAGAACCCCAAAAATCTACAGACAGTGAGCGTTAGGAGTCTTATTGGAAAGTAATGTTTATTCCGTCTTGATCTGCCCACGGCCCTCCTCTGGCCCTTTTGGACCTTAGTCATGAAGAAGCGCGTAAGGAAGAGAACAAAATCGAGCCGTGTCCCACCACACAATCTTATGTGGAATATATAAGTGTATTAATTAAATCCTGGGGACAGAGTCAAAGCTTCAAACAGGGCAGAAACAAAACGTGGGGATTAAGAACTTCTCTTCCCGTCCAGTCCCCGCCCTCGCCAGGGTCTCTTTTACATTTCTTACCAATCTGCCCCGAAGATGTTAGGGCATTTCCTACTTACATTCGTGTCCCTTATTTACATAAAAGGGTTGAGTGGCATGGTCCCACCTCACACCTGTCTGTCATTTAACAGCCCTCTCTATTCCAGTGCATGGAACTTCATCTCATTTTTTAAATAGTTGTGTAGCATTTTAGTATATCAGTCAAGTGTGATTCTTCTCCTTAAGTTGAAAGGATGCATCGAAGATATCACTTATTTTAATTTTATTTACCTATTTTTCTTATGGGTCACACCCAGCTCTGTGTATGGCTTACCTTTGTCTCTGAATTTTGGGACCACACCTGACGGGGCTCTGGGAACCTTATGTGATAACAGGGATTGAACACAGGTTCAAACTTTCTTTTTTTGGGGGGAGGGTAGGGCCACACTCGGTGATGCTCAGGGGTTACTCCTGGCTCTGCAGTCAGGAATCACTCCTGACAGGGCTCGGGGGACCATATGGAATGCCAGGGATTGAACCCGGGTCGGCCGTGTGCAAGGCAAATGCCCTCCCCACTGTAATGAACACAGGTTAATTAAAAATACTGGACACAGGTTCAATATTTTTAATGTCATGAAGAAGACTTCACAAGCTGCTTATGAAAATTAAGATAAAGTATGTAAAGTGGGGGTCATCAGGGCAATACCTGGCAGCGCTGGGGCTGGGGGCCTTACACATGTCCCCGCACCGTGGCCCGAGTTTGATCAGACCAATAGGAGAGACTGTTTCATTCCTTCCTAAGCCTCTTCCCTTCACATTGCACCGAGGCTCCCATGGCGGTTGCCCAAGATACCTGCTGGCCTCTGCAGGGAACCTCACTAGGGACCTGGGACCTTGCGGTCAGTGTGGTTTATGGTGCAGGGCATGGGGGTCACCTTGCCATGGCCCACCAGGTTCAGTCCCTGGCACTCGGAGACAACGCCACAGCCCCTGCCCTGCCAGGAGTGAGCATTGCTGGCTATGGACCCACCCCTCTAAGGTCCCTAAACGTATCTGAGCCCTGCCTAGACCTTTGGAGTGTATTCCAGCGTTCTCCGAGCCCGTAGTGATAGGGAAAGGCCAGGCTGGGGTCCGGGGCGGTTGTGCTGCCTTCGTGCTGGGTATGTGTTTGTCTACAACAGCGTTTCTGGTTCCCTGTTTGTTGCAGGGAAGACAGTCCCGCATTTGACACTTTTGCTGAAGTGGAGACATGAGACTGAAAATCTCCCTCTTAAAGGAACCGAAGCATATCCTTTCACAGGCTACCTGGGGGGCAGCAGGCTTCATTCCCTCTGTTAGCTACACTGTTTTTGAAATGATTTGAGTTGCGGCGTTTCTCCAAAGAAAAACGATTTCCTTTAAATCCTACTTACAAATTCTTACTGACATTTTTCTTACTATCTTAAGTACTGTACTTAAGAACATAAAAATCAAAATAAAAAAACCCAACCTTTTCTTTGGTTTCACTGAGTTTCTAGCAGGAGTTTAAGGAGAAAATGGAAAAAATAAAACGACCCAAATTTCTTTGCAAGTGTAATCCTGGGTGTTTTCCTTGAATTCATTCTCCCTCCTTTCTCACCCCAGGAGCGCGGGGACCCTCTGGGGTGCCAGGGAGAATCTAATTCTGCTCAGCTGAATTCTTTATGTCTATGCCGCCCTTCCAGCCCCGCATTGTCTTGTCCGCGGTGAGGGCTGCCTGCAGTCAGTCAGATCACAGTGGGCAGAGAGGGCGAGATGGGGCACCGGAGGACACAGAAGGCGGCAGTGCACACAGAGACCAACCAGAGGAAGCATCTTTGGGTTATGCCTGAGGTGCCGCTGTCGCTGCCAACCTGATAGGGCAGAGCAGCCTCTGAGCAAGGGAGGATTGCGGGGGCCTCTCTGTCTCTTTCTGTCTCTCTCTGTGTCTCTATCTCTGTCTCTCTCTGTCTCTCTCTCTCTCTCTCTCTCTCTTTCTTTCTCGGTCTCTTTTTTGAGGGAGTTGGGCCACATTCAGCTGTACTCAGGCGCTGTCCCTGGCTCTCTGTTTGGGAGTACTTGTGGTACTTGGGGGTCTACGTGAAGACCAGTGATCAAACTGGGTCAGCCACATGCAAGGCAGATGCCTTAACCCCTGTCCTACCTTTCTAGTCCTGATCACTGTCACTGTCACTGTCCTCCCGTTGTTCATCGATTTGCTCGAGCGGGCCCAGTAATGTCTCCATTGGAGACTTTTGTTGTTACTGTGTCTGGCATATCGAATACTCTCGGTAGCTTGCCGGGCTCTCCGAGAGGGGCGGAGGAATCGAACTCTGGTCGGCCATGTTGGCCGCTTGTAAGGCGAACGCCCTACCCGCTGTGCTATCGCTCCAGCCCTGATACCTTAGAAAAAAAATTTTTTTTTTTTTTGCTTTTTTGGGTCACACCCAGCCAATGCACAGGTGTTTCTCCTGGCTCTGTACTTAGGAATTACTCCTGGCAGTGCTCAGGGGACCATATGGGATGCTGGGAATCGAACCCGGGTCGTCCACATGCAAGGCAAACACCCTACCTGCTGTGCTATTTCTCCAGCCCCTAGAAAAAATTTTAATGGAAATTCTCTTGGTAGATTGAACATTGAACCAAAGTAAGATTTTTAGGGTTCCTATCTTAGCATCTCATTGGCACAGCAAATTGAAATGGAATTATTTCCTGATTTTAACGTCCAAAAGTTTGGTTGCAATTTTTATTTTGGCTTGCTATAGTGGTTTTTACCCCTAGTTCCTCGTTAACTATAGTCATGATATAAGCAGGTGGTATTCTGTAGATTTCAGTCTTCTTTTGCCACCCAAGTGTCTTAAAATATCTGCATAATGCATGCTTATTCTAAAATTTTAGACCTTTCCTTGGGATATTTCCTTGGGATAGTTCCATTCCTTGGGATATTCGCCCTTTTATGTCTCCTTAACGTGGTGACATGAGGAATTAGTGAGTTGCGTGGGCTGGACCACGGCGGAGGAGCTGTACTCCTGCAGTGACGACCACCAGATCATCAAGTGGAACCTGTTGACCAGTGAGACGAGTCAGATCGTGAAACTTCCTGAGGAGATCTACCCGATTGACCTTCACTGGTTCCCCAAAAGTGTGGGCGTCAAGAAGCAGACTCAGGCAGAGAGCTTTGTCCTCACCAGTTCTGACGGTAGGTTTCCTAGGACACCTCTGTGCTCATATTTATTTATTTATTTTTGGCCTGGGGCCTGTACCTGGCGGGGCCCAGGGAACCATAAGGCGGTGCCAGGATCGAGCGGGGTTGGCCGCAGGCGAGGCAGAACCTCACCTGTTGGACTCGCTCTCTGGCCCCTTCTCTCTCTCTCTCTCTTTTTTTTTCCTTTTTGGGTCACACCCAGCAAGGCGCAGGGGTAACTCCTGGCTCAAGCACTCAGGAATGACTCCCAGCAGTGCAGGGGGACCATATGGGATGCTGGAAATCGAACTGGGGCCAGCCGCTGTGCTATCACTCCAGCCAGCCTTGTCTTTATTTTTAAACTCAGTGTGTTAGTGTGGCTTCGTGTTCCGGGAGTTTTCCAGGACTTTCCGTGTGCTTCATCCACACACTCCCCCAATCACCAGGTAGCCGTTGGCTTGGTGATGGGCTCTGAAGTGCCTTCGCGGAGGAAAGTGAACCCAACTCGTCTCTGGGGAATGGGTCAAGACTTGAGCTTGTCTCTTTCACTGTGTGTTCAAGTTGTTTAAAACGCTTACCAGTAATGAGTGCAGAACCAAAGTTCTTCAATTTCAACTTTATAACTTGCCCACACTAAAAAATTTCAACATAGCTCAACATAGCACCTTTTCACTCAACATAGCAACTTTTATTTTATTTTATTTTGCAGGGGTTGGCAAGTTTCTTACCCACTATACTCTCTCTGGCCCCTCAAATGATCTCTTAAACTGAGCCATCATTTTCTAGCCTGTGTTAATTTCCACGTAGAGTTGGAGAGTTATTTAATTAGCCCATAGGTTTATTACTGGTGAGTAAAATGCATGACTTTCGATTATCAAGGAGATGACTTTATTTTCTTAGGAAAACTTGAACCATAGTTGCTCCATATAACACCTGACTGACGTGTTGACCAGGGGACACTCATGAAGCGCTCTGGAACATGTTGGCTTGCCATGCTCGGAGACTTGCGACTCCCCCCAGCCCAGTTCTGTCCCAGGTTCCCTCCAAGACGGGCGTGGTGGACCGTGGCGGCCCAGTGTGTCCTGCTAGCAGGAGGGTCGCAGAGGGCGCCTGGTGAGCCTGTCCCCGGCCCTCTCGGGTGGACTGCTGAGCTCCAGGGCACTGTCCCCTCCCTGAGCCAGGCAGGCCTTGGGCACCACGTGGAAAGGGAGGTGAGAGCGGGCAGGTGCCACAGTGGAGTGACGGCAGATGCCCCGGGTGTCAGAACATACTGTGTGGATTCCATGTGCTTTTGAACTATTTCGTCTTATGTACTGTGACTACAGCACTGTTAGTGGCGGGTTTCGTGCCTGGGACACTCCAACCTCACACCTGCCACCATCGTCCTGGCATCACCTTCTCCACCCCACTCTGGAGACAGAGTTTTTTTTTTTTTTTTGGTTGTTACTCTTTTTTTTTTTTTAATTTTTTATTAGTGAGACATCATGAGGTACAGTTGTAGACTTACAAATTTTTGTGCTTGGGTTTCAATTATACAATGGTCAAATACCCATCCCTCCACCAGTGCCCATTTCCCACCACCACGGATCCCAGTATCCCTCCCACCCCCCATCCCCGCATCCCACCCTACCTCTGTGACAGGGCATTCCCTTTTGTTTGGAGATAGAGTTTTAACCTTTTTTTTCTGGATCTTGGTTAAGGAACTATCCCGTGAAAAGGTTTGGCCCTTGGAAGGTTAGCTCTTAGGCTTTGCTTGACCGCCCATAATTTTTTCATTTTCATTTCATCATCCTGTTATTCGTCGATTGCCTCGAGCAGGCCCCAGTAACGTCTCTTTCATCCTAGCCCTGAGATTATATTCCCATAATAAAATGAAGATTTTTCTTTTACAAAAACACAGAATCACAAACGAGTGCGTCAGTGGCAAACACTTGCCCTGTAAGCGGGAGGTCCCGAGTGGCCTCCTGCCTCTCCACCCCACCCCAACAGAAGTCCTTATATTCTGATATAATCTCACATTACAGGAAGGCAGCAAGAATAATACAGATGACTCCTGCGTATCTTTCAGATTCATCAGTTGTTGACATTCGAATCCAGAACTTTATAACCGGCATGTTTGCCTTTCTTTTTTCTCTCCTTCAGATTCCTCATTAACCAACAATAGCCCGTGATGGTTACCATCAATACTCCATCAATATCCCCGTTAACCATCAAGACTCCATGCTTTTTCTAAGAATAAGGATTTTTCTGTTTCATGGCCATAATATACTGATCAAAATCAGGAATCACACACTGATGCAGTGCCAGATATCTAACCTCCAGTCACACTCCCGCTTGAGTGCGTGTCCTAATTATGTCTTCCAGAACAGCCTGTTTGCTCGGGAACAGAAGAGCACTGCTTTTGTTCTCTGTCTAACCCACTTTCATCTGGAGAAACTCCTCAGTCTGTCTTTTATGATCTTGACAGTTCTGAAGAGTTACAGACCTGTTTTGTTTAGAACAGAATGTCCCTGAATATGTGTTTGTCTGGTATTTCCTCGTGGTTGGGTTAAGTTTATACATATTTAATGTTTAGAGGATCGGATTGGGAGATCCATGATGTCACTGGGACCCGTCATGGGTGAGAGTAACTTTGACTTCTTCTAAATGTTGTATTCGGTAAATTAATCCACCATAAAATCCCCAGTTTTCCCTCTGAGAAGCACGACGTACGGAGTATCAAAGTGCCCTCTGCCTCCGCAGACTCGGTCCTGCTGCCTTGGCGGCAGGGGCTGATGATTGGGGCTGAGTCCTTCATTACTCGGATGGCGGTTGTTGAAGTGTGTGATGCCGTGGTGTGGATGGCCTGCTCTCTGTGGAGCGAAGCGTCTTCCGCCTCTTACTGGGTCTCTGCCTGTTCCCTCCCTCCTGTCGCTTCTACTCAGAGACTCTCTGAGCTTGTTTGGAGGTTCAGGCAAGCCAGTGCAGCGACTCCTATACCCTGGGTGGCCCGAAATCCACCCCTCTCTATTGGGGGTGGCCATCCTCTTCCACGGAGCTGGAGCCGTGAGGGAGGAAGGGGACAACCGCCTGGCTAGCCAGATCAATGGGGGTGGCGTGTTGCATCCTAGATTCTTACTGTATGTCTAGGGTATTTAGTTCCTGTTATTTTGACATTTTGGTGTTAAATCGCCCCCAATTTGGCCATTGCTCATCGATGGTAGTGCAAAAGTATGGAACCCAGCATTTTTTTTTCTGTTTGTGCTGGGGGCCGGGGGGCTTGCCGGCAGCCTTGGGAGAGACCCTGGGGGCCGGATCAGGCAGGGGCCTGGCGGGCAGAGCTGACTCCTGGTCCCTCACTGCTGTTCTGTCTGGGCTCTCCTAGTTCAAGTTCCCTGCGCTGTCCCCTGCCTCCATGTGGTTGGGTGAATCTGACCCCTGAGCACTGAGCCAGCAGTAGCCCCAGAAAACCATGGGGCGAAAGTAAAACTGAACTGTCCCAGTGGACCGTCCTTGTGGATTTTGTTGGTTTGGTTTTCTGTGGGGGCCATACCTGGCCATGCCCAGGGCTTCCTCCTGGCACTGTGTTCAGGGGTCATTCCTGGTGGGCTCAGGGAACCATCCAGGTACCAGACTGGGGCCCCGGCCGGCCACATGCAAGGCCAGCCCTGCCCCGTGTGCAGTTACTCTGACCCTGTCACTGTTATTTGGGTTCTGGTGCATCCTTCGTGTTTTCCTTTTGTCCAAAGTAAGCAGTTCCATGTTGTGTTTTCCTTTAGGCTTTTTTTTTTCTGTTACAAGGGCTGGCTTATATTTCCTTTTTAACATTTTCCTTTTTAGCATAATACGAGGATGGACTTTCATTTGGTAAATATGGATAGTAGATAGAGTTAGTGTTGATAATGTGTGTTGTCTGTTTACCCGAATTATTAAGATTACTTAATTACACTTAACTAGAACATAATTGCTTGGGTCTCCATTTCACATTGGCTTTAGATAAAACACTTTTTTGGTAGGGGAAAAAAGTCTAAAGTGAAAAAAAAAGTAATTTAGAAGATAAATTTGCGAGATTAAATGAGGGAAAGTATATTATGCCTCTTGAGAAACCGTAGGGTCTAATTTTAGTTCAGGTTTAGTATTAACCAGCAGGTAAGACAGCCCGACCTGCCCTGCCGGAGCAGGGATAGGAGAGAAGCAGAGAGCCCGAGCAAGATGCTGCTGTTTGCTCCCAGGCCTGGGAGAGAAGCGTCTGGGGTCAGGCTGGTCCATCAAATGCAGGAGTGACTGGGAAGACTGCAAACAGCATCTTGTAACCCAAACAAGGAGATGGGCCCCCGGGAGCTGGCTGGGGGGTGCTGGCCAGAGCTGAGACTGTGTTCTCTGTCAGTGCTCTGTTCCTTGGGGAAAGGTTGCCATGAGAGGCCCCGAGGGACAGTACACTGGGTGAGACACTGGTCTTGCATGTCACTGAGTAGGGTCACCCATGCTGTTGCATGGGTCCCCTGAGCCCTGTCCGGAGTGACCCCTGAGCAGAGCCGAGTCCTGAGCACTGCGGGGGTGGCCCAAACCTTCCCTTAAGCTCCAAGTTATTGTGGGAGACAATGCATAGTACTAGATCTACCCCAGGAGCACATTATAAAGTGATTGTGGGGGGGCAGCAGGCAGGGTGCTTACCTTGCACGTGGCTGGCCTGGGTTTCGTCCCAAACAGCCCATATGGTCCCCCAAGCCCGCAGTGCAGAGTCAGGAGTAAACTCTGAGCACTGCCAGATGGGGCCCCCAAGTGGAACAAAACAAACATAGGTGCAGAGTGCTGTGTTGCTAACTGTACCCCCAGGGCACGGTTCTGGGTTCCAGAACCTTTCCCACATGTGGATGTTATGCCAATACGAAACTCGCTCCCTCCCGGCCCAGCTGAGAGCACCGGAGCTGCTCCCCACCCCACCCCTGACGGTTACCAGGAGCTGCTCCCCCCTATGGTTACCAACGTACCTTCTCACTTTTCCTCCTCGCCAATAGCGTGCAAGGCAACTGCCGTAAGTAGGTTTTCCACTCTTCTAGTTTCTCTTGGGCCAGCCCCGCCCTCTCTTGCTCATGGTTCTGTTCAAGAACGATCTCTGAGGGACCCCACGGGCCTGTCGCAGATGCCCTCCCTTCAGTAGAGCTGCCTGATCTGGAATGCACTTTCTAGAGGGGCTGTTTCTTTCGCAGTGTATTGGAAGATTCTCATTTGACAAAGAATTGATGCTAAAAGTGCAACAGGGTAGGTGTGATGGAACACAGTCCTGCTCCAGGATCTTTGGTGAAGCCATGAAACACTCTGACATTATATTTAGTGGCAGTTGACTTGTCCATGTCCGTTTGTAAAGGAATTTGTGTTTGTTTCTAGCAGTTCCACGAGGTTGCCAATCTTACTCAGGCTTTTTTGCAACCATCTGCCCAAAATATTTTTGCTATTAAGCAGTTGGCTAAGGCCTCGGGGCTTTTTCTTTCAGCCCCTAATCCACCGTCTTACGACCACAGCATTTCATGACACTTCTGACATTAAAAAATATTTTCCAGATGTTTTTAGTTTTAGTTACTTGATTATTTTTCAGTGCTGGAATTGAACCCATGTTCACACATTCGAGCTATGTCAGTCATGTTTGTAACCTACTTCGTCTGTCAGCCTTTGTTCAAGAAATATGTGCAACACATTCATCCCAACCAATATAACTTTATTGTAAGTACCTGAAAACAGGTTAGGCTCTTGCCTTGCATGTGCTAGACCCAGCTTCAGTCCCTGTCATCCCACATGGTCCCTGAGCCCTGCCAGGAATGATACCCAAGCACAGAGCCAGGGGTAATCCCTAAGCACAGCCAGGGATGGTCCAATCCCTATTCCTTAAAAAAAAAAAAAATACTTGTGTTGGTTATACTCTCTTTTCAGCCCTATCCCTACCATATAACTGAAAATAAATACCTAAGTTTATTTTCTTTTTTTTGGGGGGTGGGGAGGTAGGCCACATCTGGGGGTGCCAAGGCCTTATTACTGGCTCCTGGTGATACTCCGGGGACCGTATTTGCCAGGATCTGAAAGTAAATGCCATGCCCATTCTGCTCTCTCTTGGCCCTCAATCTCTGCTTCTGGTCTTGGCTATTTAGTGTTTCTCCCACAGTGTCGGCCAGGGATCCTGCCCAGGGCTCCTCACGTGCCAAGCATGTAGCCTACTACCGAGCCATATTTTCAGATGGTCTTGCAGTTTTGAAAAGTTACAGAAAAATTGATAGAAGAATCAAGATAGTTAAATGGATAATTACATTCTGAAATACGAGATGTGGGGCCAGGGAGGAAGTACAGCGGGTAGGGCGCTTGCCTTTGCATGCGGCTGACCACGGTTCAATGCCTGACATCCCCTGGGGTCCCCTGAGCACTGGGCGTCACCAGGTGTGGCCCCAAAACCAAACAAACAAAACCCTCCAAGTATTAGATGTGTGAATTTTATATTCTGGGTGTGCTTTTCAAGCAGTTTGTAATCAGTAAAAATACAAAGGGCAAAACTTCACGGAGTACGAAATCTTTGCATTCACTCACTTTAGTTTTAGATATTTTTGTTAGGCCATAGAAAGCAAGAGTCACTTAAATATCAGCAGTCTAAATATGTAAACCCCAAAGTATGGAATTTTAACCTTTCAGTTCAGATTTAAGAGTGACTTGGCCCATTTTTTGGATATAATTCTACGTAATGATTATTTATTATGTGAATAATAATAATTACTAGCGAGAGAGTGAGAGAGCGTGTGTGTGTGTGTGTGTGTGTGTGTGTACTCACCCAGCAGTGCTACCTTAACCAAACAGCTTCCTGCTTGGGCCAGGCTTTACAGCATGACTCTGGCCCAGTGATCTGAGTCCCACTAGGGCTATTCCCTGTGGTGCAGGGTGGAGAGAGAACATGCAATATCAGGGTTTTTGTTTTGTTTGGGGGCCACGTGTGATGATGCTCAGGAGTTACTCTTGTTTCTGTGCTCAGAAGTCACTCCTGGCAGTGCTTGGGGGCCAGGTGGGAGCCAGGGATTGAATCTGGGTAAATGCCTGCACGGCAAGTACCAAAGTACTGTTGCTCTGGCTCCTCGGTCCCAGGAGCTGAATGCGGGGGCTGTGTTTTCAAGTCATGGGCTCCCTCCCCGTGTGGATGTTCTATGCTGGGTCAGCCACACGCCAGCCCTGAGTGAAACCAACCTGGGGAAAGTGGTTAATGGCCACGCGTTGTTATATTTTCCTTCTGTGAGACTCCCCCTTGTTTTTTCTTTGTAAAGCAATTTAAAAGTCATTGCCAAATAATTTTTTTATGCTATGATTTTTTATTTGTTTGGTGGTGCTCAGGGATTGTCCCGACTCTGTGCTCAGGTCGCTCCTGTTGCTGGGGGACCTGTATGCAGTGCCAGGAGTCCAACCCCGGCCTTCACATATAAGGTGCCCTGCCTGCTGTTCTGTCTCTCTGACCCCAAATTAACCAATTTGTTGGCATTGGGACCCTACTCAGCGGTGCTCAGTGACACGCTCACAGTGCTCCGGGCTGCATTGGGGTCTTCATGAGGTACTGGGAACTGAACCCAGGCCTCCTGCATGCAGTGTTTACTCCAGGGAACTGTGTTTCTGGCCCTGGTATTAGTTTTCAATCAATCTCATAGAGAGTCTCATAGTGCAAGTGAACTAGCATTAATCTCATTTCATTGAGCATTGGCCCAATGGTAAATATGTAATTTAAAGGGGACTTCAGGGCCTGCTCTATTGTAGGACCCCCACCAGCCTCTCGGAGGCCTGCGGCTCTGAGTTCAGTCCCCGGAACAGCCCACATGCCATGTGCTAGCCTGGTGGCGCTGCCATCGCGACCCCCAGCTCCGTAGCCGCGTGTGCAACCCCCTGCACCAGAGCTCACGCATCAGAACAGCAACAGCACAAACCAGTGGGTCAGTGGGCAGGGAACCTCCGGAAGGCTTGGAGGGAGGTGACAGGGCCCGAGGTTCGGGAAAAAGGAAGAGCGCCTGCAGAGTGGACAGCTGTCAGCTGCGGAGACAGTGCTGCAGTGTCCTTTTTAAAGAGCAGTGCTCCGGGATCTCGTTACTCGGTAGCTACATTTGCTCATGGAGAAGCAGGTTATAAGTACCCGGCTGGGACTGGAGTGATAGCACAGCAGGGAGGGCATTTGCCTTGCACACAGCTGACCAGGGTTCGATTCCCAGCATCCCATGTGGTCCCCTGAGCACCGCCAGGAGTAATTCCTGAGTGCAGAGCCAGGAGTAACTCCTGAGCATCACCGGGTGTGACCCTAAAAGCCAATAAAAACAAATAAACAAATGACTGACTGATGTGGCCTGCACGTGGACAGTATCGTGGCCCCAGAGTGCAGAGAGCTGCCTTGCGGCTGTACGAGGTGGCCAGTGTTTTCAGGCGTCTCTGTTAGAATTCATCGGACACATTTCAAGCCATCAGTTGTGACTGGCTCAAAATTTTTATTTTGTATTTTTTAGCCAATTGCTACTTTAGGTCAGAGCCTTGAAGGGCTCCGAGTTAAAAGCGAATTGAAACTAAATGAATCCTCTGAGGCCTTTGGTTGAGAAATGGCTCTTCCCTCCCCTGTTCTGTCCTGGTCGCCCAGAACCTCCCTGACCCCTCACTGTCTGCATAGGTTCTCTGTGCTGGTGATATCCTGAAGTGTTTCGCTTCCTGACTTTGTGTGTGTGTGAGCTTTCTGAGGCTGGAGACCATGCGCCTGTTTCCTTTCCGTCCATTGGGTGCCTGCTATCATGGAAAACCATCTAAGACCAGTATTTGAAAACCGAGGCTTGACTTCCAGTAGCTTCCAGTCTACCCTCCTCCCTGGCAAGCCCAAATCCAAGCAGAAACTAACACCTGAGGACCCCACTCACGGGACAGGGGGGTTTCCAGTGCTGCGGAGAGACTCTCCCCTCAATTGCTCCCACCTCCTCTGGGCTGGGACTGTGTTTTCTCTATCCCATTTCTAGAAGAAATAATGCCAGGCTCCAAAACTGCTCAGACAAGACATCCTGGACGCTTCTCTCTCCTCCTGTTCCTGGGCCGCGGAGTGCCACAGTCCTGCGGGACCCTCCACACCACTGCCACCCCCACTGGTACCATTCTCCAGCCTCACTATTGCCCGCTGCGTGGGCAGGTCACTCCATGCCGCCTGGATGTCCCCAGCACAGAGCACGGGCTGACCTTGTCCCCAGGCATTTGCTGATCGCATGGATCAGCTTCACAAGCTCAACCTCTCGAGTTTGCTCCTTTTCAGGTAAATTCCATCTCATCTCTAAGCTGGGGAGAGTGGAGAAGAGTGTGGAAGCCCACTGCGGGGCCGTGCTCGCTGGCAAGTGGAACCATGAAGGCACCGCGCTGGCCACGGGTAAGGACCAGGAAGGGTCGCCAGGCGGTGGCTTTAGATAAAGGTTTTCAAGACTTTTTCTTATTTGAATTGCTTCTCCTTGGGTCACACCGGGCTCTGCCGGTGGCTTCCACCTGGCTCTCCTCGGGGATCACTCAGAGACAGGCTCGGGCATTGTACCGGCTTGCTGGAGAAACGAACCTGGGTTAGCTGTGCGCATGCCAAGCACCTGCCCACTGGACCATCTCTCTGGCCTCCTTTCTTTCTCTCTCTTTTTTTTTTCCCTTGGTTTTGAGGCCACATCTGGCTCAGAGCTTGCACCTGACTCTGTGCTCAGGGGTCATTCCTGGTGGTGCTTAAGGGACTGTGCTGTGCTGGGGACCAAACCAGATGGCTGTGAGCAGGGCAGGTGCTTAACCCTGTGCTGTCTCTCGACCCCGTAAAGAAAATTTTCAGAATCAGCAGAGTACCTTTTGCTATATAAAACAATGCACAGTAATCATCTAAATTGTAATATCAAATTATAATCGAACTCAGAAAAACATATAAGGGGCTAGAGGGATAGCACAGCAGGTAGGGCATTTGCCTTGCATGCAGCCGACCTGGGTTCGATTCCCAGTATCCCATATGGTCCCCCGAGCACTGCCAGGAGTAATTCCTGAATGCAGAACCAGGAGTAACCCCTGTGCATCTCCAGGTGTGACCCAGAAAGCAAAATATATATATATATATACACATATATATATTAATTTGTTTCCTCACACGCCACACTGTTGAGATTGTTTCATTGAAGAAAGCTTTTAGAATGGTCAATTGTGGGGTAAGTAAAAAGTTATATATATATATATATATTTTTAATGTAGGAGTACTGCTATTTATTCAGCCACTGATTAGCTGATTGAATTGGGCATAAACTCCACCTTACTTTTTTTTTCATAGTTTTATTTATTTTTTGTCTTATATTTATTCATTGAATCACTGTGGGAAAAGTTACTAAGATTTCAGGTTTAAGTCTCGGTCATACAATGATCAAACACCCCTCCCTTCACCAGTACTCATTTATCACCACCAAGAACCCCAGTATACCCCCCCTTCCACCCCTCCCAATGCCTGTGAAGCAGATGATTTCTACTTAACTCTTCTCTACATTGATTACATTCATCATTTCAACAAAAGATGCACCATTATTGTTTAGAATCCCCCCCCCCCCCAAACAATCAGAATTGCTGAAAAGGCATTGTGAAATACTTTGTTTTCTATAGCTGGTTATGAGAATCATATAATGATTATGGATTTCTGCAAAGAGCCAGATAATTACGAGATTGGTTTCTGCGCATCTGGTGTTATGGCTGTGCCGGAGAGCCGCTCGTGGGGGGTAACTCAAAGCCGGCTCATACCTGGCTTTCCTATAAGCTCTGAGGTGGCGGCCACCTTGCTGCTTGGGGAGAGAAAAGGCCGAAGGGAGCGACACCCTTTCCCTCCCGGGGAGGCATGGCGCCATAGTTTAATGCGTGGTCCATTCATTTTTATGCCGCAAGCTGCCGGGCTCTGTATTAAGTCCTTTTGCCTCTGGAGCCATGGCCGTGTATGCGGTCCAGATGCATTTCTGCCAAAAGCTGCTGGGTTTCGAGATTTGTTTCTGAGTCTCTTGGATGATGGCCATTAATCAGCTTGATCAGGAGCCAGAGAGGCCATTTGTAGGCGGCAACTCGAGGTCTCGCTGGGATGGGGAGGAAAGGGCCGGTTCCACCCCCATCTGGTGAGGCCCTGCGTGTCTCGTCACTGCAGACCCAAACCTGACTGTCTTGTGGCCTCTGGAGGATGGTGGTCACCAGGCCACCAAGGGGAACAGGCCAAGGCACGAAACCTATTCCCACCTGGAGTGGCCCAGCGCCAGTAACCTACTGCAGGAACAGGACACATTTCTGCCAAAAGCCTTTGGGTTCTGAGATTCGTTTCTGAGACTCTGGGATCATGGCCATTAAGCAGATAGATCAGGAATCAGAGAGGCCTTGCCTCCAATTATATAGCTGAGCCGGAGGTGGTTTGTGGGTGTGTCTCCCACATACCTAACTTTTGGCCGTTTACTTTCTTGGTAAACTTTGCCCCAAGTTTTTGGGGTCTGGCCAAAGGCACAGCAGCAATTTTGGGGTATCTGAAAGCCTGATGGTGCCATCAGGCTACTGATGCATTCACCTCACAGGTACAGATTGACCTGCTGGCGGCACTATACCCCCTGTATTTCTTAAAAACTCTAAAATTCAGGGCATGGAGAGAGAGCTCAAAGGGTGAACTGTATGTCTGACAGCAGAGACCCCGAGTTTGATCAGCTCAATCCCAGCACCCCAGTTGTCCCCCAGTCAGGGGTGGCTCTGCTGGCCCCATGAACGCCAGTCTCCTCCCACCAATATGAGCTAGGGAGGGGCCTGAGCACAAGCCTGGGAGCTGCCGCCTCCCCAAACTGAAGCGCCCTCAATTTCCTGGTCCCTGTTCTCCGGCCTCTGCAGCTGCACCTGTTGTGCTCGTTATGAATCGTTGTGTGGGGAACCGACATTTCGTGGTGTGGGATTCAAAGCCCGTAACCTCCTGCTGCTACGGGGCAGGGCATAGTCCTGTTGCATAACTGTGCCCCAGGCTTGGGGGGGGCGTGACCCTCACTGGGCAGCACCAGCTCCCGGGCCTCTGCAGGCAGGAGGACTACGCCTCTTTGAGGTCCGCCTCAGATGCCTGGCGGGTGCCAGAAGCGCGAGCCCTGCAGAGGAGCCCGGCAGGTGGGGGCCATTGGGACGCTTCTCCCCTGTTTCCCGCCTCCCCGAGGGCTTGGCTGCTAGTCGCCCTTCTCCGTTTCTTCAGCTGCTTTCCTGGTAGTTTCCTTTTCAGTATAGAAATGGTCTTAGATGTTATTTATCTAGAACACTGAGAAGTGAAAATCCTGTCTCTAGCCAGGGACTCTTCCTCCCTCTCTCCCCCCCTCCACTTCCAGACTCTTGGAGTTGCCTGTCACCTGCTCCCCATCGTGTCAGGTGAAAAGCACCTTCCTTCGAAGGTTAGGGTGGACGTTTCAGTGAATATAGAAGCGTCATTTGAGTGATCTGCTCGTAACCCTTCTGGTAGTAAAGGGAAACAACCCTTGTTGTGAAGTTGAACTACTTCGATTTAATGGTTTCAAAGTAATTTCAATTAAATTTTACAGTTAGGAAGCACCTTGATTTAAATTGTTTGAATTTTAAACATGCATTAGTATAAGTACTGCTGTTTTTATTGCAAATTTAATGTTTTAAGTTAATGCTTTTTTTTTTATAGATTTTAAACTATTTTTAGGATTTTTATGTTCCTTTTAATTTGGGGGTGTTTGGGTCACACCTAGCAGTGCTTGGGGCTCGCTCTTGGCGCCATCCTCAGGGATTTCTCCCGGGAAGGCTCAGGGGGCCACATGCAGAGCAGAGGACTGAGCCCAGCTTGGCCACTTGGAGACAAGCGTCCTAGCTTCTATGCTATCTTTCTTTGAAAATATTTTTATATCAGCCGTTATTCTCTCATTACAGTCGGAGAAGATGGACAGATCAAAATTTGGTCGAAGACTGGCATGCTAAGATCAACATTAGCTCAGCAAGGTATGTGCCGTCATCAATAAAAACAGCTTGACATCTTCCTTCCTTTCCTTCCTGCCTTCCTTTCTTCCTTTACTTTCCTTTTTCTTTCCTTCCTTTCTCTCCCTCCTTCCTTCCCTCCCTCCCATGCTTCCCCCATCATTTGTCCCCCACCCCACCCCATTCCATGGCATTGCAGTGACTCAAGGCTGACACTCGATCGTAGCGTTCACATTTGCTTTTGAGTCATCTAGGGGAAAAAAAAGAGAACAACAAAAACCAACAAAATTAATATGGCATTGGAATCATGTACACCAAAAACCATCATTAATAGCACTGGCATTGTAAATCACAGAATCTCAATAAAATTAAAAGAAGAAAACCCTTAAAATTCTTCTTAGGATAAATTGGTCAAAGCATGAAAATTACTGCTTTTTCAGGTATCCAAATATGTGTACGCTTGCTGGGGGCTGGGGGGATTTTTGTGCTTCAGAAGATATCATCGAGAAAGTCAAAAGGAAACCCACAGAGCGGGATAAAAATAGTCGTCAGTCTCACGTCCACTCAGTCTGTAAACAACTTTTCAAACTCAAGAATAAAAAGACAAACAGCCCAATTTAAGTGTGCAAAGAATTTGACTCCATATTTCGCCAAAGAGAACAACAGATAGCAGACACGCTCTCCAGCGTTAGTTACCAGGGAAATTCGGATCAAACCTCTGAGGGGTACTTGACACTAGAACGAGTGTGTGAGAGAGCAAGGGAGAGAGGGGAGAGGTGGGCAGGGAGTCTGGCCTCACGGGATGGAGATGTGCGGCCAGGTTGTATACAGTTGAGAGGTGCTTTAACCCACCAACACGGCTGCGTCTGAGACAGTTCGCGATTCAAGGGGAAAACAGCAACAGGCAAATAGAATGGTGCAGCAAACCTGAGCAAGCACGCCTGGTATTACGAATCAGTCATGTATAATGTAGACTCGGGAGTGGTCCAGATGACGAGCATCGGGACTGTCCTAACTTTGCCCATACCGGTGCTCAGGGCTGACTCCTGGCTCTGTGCTCAGGGCTCACTCCTGGCAGGGCGCGGGGGTTCTATAGGGTGCTGGGGATCAAACCCGGGTCAACCGCATGCAAGGCAAGTACCTCCCATCTGTACTGTCGTGCTGTCTCTTGTTTCTGGTTATTCCTGCTGCTTTGCGGTCAGGGAGGGTGGGGAATGCGGTTTGAGTTTGGGGGCCACACCGGGCAGTACTCAGGAATCACTCCCAGGGACTCCAGACCGGGATGCAGTGCTGGGCTGGACGGACTCGGGTGGCGGGCTTACAGGCCGGGCCCTGGGTGCTGCCCCCTCTCTGGCCTCTAGGCAGATGCTCTGCGTCCCGTTGCAGCAGTGGTTTGTTTGTTTCCCAGCATACAGACCCTCTTTCTCCCTCTCTTCCTGATAATTAGAAGAAACTGTCAGGTCCTGAAACACTGTTACCATAAGGTGCAAATATATCCCTTTCTTCTGGAAAGAAACAATGTTTTCTGAGGCTCCTTTTGTTAGACCTTGTGGTCTTGTTTTTGAAGTTGCATTTTCCTAGAGCCTGTCCTAGGGCGCTCCGGGTCACTAGGGCCAATTTTCTTTTCTGTAAACCCGTACAATTGCTTTGTCACTTAATGTTACTTGTTAGTAGGCCAGTTTCCAGAAAACAGCCAGGTAAGTACAATTTTGTTAATTTTTTTTTTACCAAAAGATTACTTAAATGTTCATGAAACAAACCCTCATTGTCACATGCATTAGGACATTTGGGGACTGTTCAAACACACTGGTGGGCACCTGTATACTTACTTGGAAGAGAATTACTGGATTCATTTCCTAGGAGTGGAAAGGGAACTGGAGCTCGGCCGCAGGAACTCTTGAAATCTGCTGCCGAGTTCTTACCGTTCACCAGCAGCAAAAGCCGCTGGGACAGACCCAGGAGCATCCTTCGCTGTAGCATCAGAGCCCGTGTCAGCTTAAGCATGAATGACGAGCAGGTGTCCTTAAGCGAGAGGCTGACCCGTTCAGGTGTGGGGTCCTGGTGACTCCCCCAGTGCTTCACGTGTCCACGTGGAATCCTGGCATCACCCCAAGGGGGTCTGTTTGGGTGGGGGCGGCACCCAGGGGTGCTGCTCTGCCCGGGAGTGCCACCTGGCGCGCTTGGGACCGTGGGTTCTGGGGAAGGAGCCAGGGACCCCACAGGCCTGGCAGCGCCTCCCCCGGCTCGGCTCCCCTCCGGGTATCTGGGTGGCACATCAGCAGGCGTGATGACTCTGGGCACCAGCTGGAAGGAGCGTGCTGAGATCTCTGCCACGGGTGGACACTGATGCCAGACACATCCCGGGACCCTCCTGCTCCCAGGGCAGAGACCTCAGTAGTGCCTCTGAGTTCCAGCAGCTCCTGTGCTGGGGGCCCTGGGCTGGTCCTGGGCACTGACCTTCTCGCTCAGGGCCGCCCAGGTCAGAGTTCCAGAGTGAACCCCTCTTCCTACTCTGAAGCCAGACACAGCCTTCTGCTGTCCCCAGCACCCCGGAGCCAGGAGTGCTCCCCGAGTCCAGAGGTGGCCTGGTTTGGTGAGATCCTGGGTCCCATACCTGCCTGCATATACACACACATACATATACATACACGCATACACATGCGTATGCACACACAAAGCTGTGAGGCAGGTGGAGCTGGTCCTGTCTCCTCGAGAACCATGGCGCAATCACACACAAAAAGACCCAGCTGAATTAGCGTACAGGCCGGAAGTCTGTGAACTGTGCTGGAAGCCTGAGTTTTCACTGTGTTTGCATTGACTACACTTATTCCAGATGAATAGAATTAAATTCCTGAATTTTGAGCCCCTCCCAGAACCGGAACAGTGGGGGTGTAACACTTTCCTCTGACACAGAAGTGTTCTTTCAAATCAGGGACCTGTTTGTTGAAAAAATCCACTTAGTTGACACATCATTCTGCCTGATATTTCTGTGGAGGTTTTCTTGTTTGTTTGTGTTCGTTTTGGGTCACACCTGGCGATTCTCAGGGGTTCCTCCTGGCTCTGTACTCAGGAATTACTCCTGGTGGTGCTCAGGGGACCATATGGGATGCTGGGAATCAAATTGTGTCAGCTGGTGAGTAATGCCCTCCCGGCTGGTCTCTGGCTGGACTCTCTTGTGTTACATTGTCGATTTTAAGGAAACTGGAGGGATAGTATAGAGAATAGGTTTGGGGGCAGGATGAGGACTGGGCAAGCAGGGAGAGGAACTGGAGCTGGACGAATCCATGCTTTGCACGTGAGACCCCCGGCATTGTATGGGGCCCCTGCACCACCAAGAATGACCCAAAAATCAAAACCTAAAGAAGGTTAGGGAGTACAGCTGTGATTCTCCAAGAAAGAGAAACAGCTCTCGTTTAAATGTCTGTGTACCAACTCAGTGACATACAGAACCTCCAAGATGCATCTGTGTGTGTGTAATGCATCTCATATGATTACTGTAAGCTTGTACACATCCCTGCAAACAGAAATACTTCTCAATTTTGAATTCTTAATCAGCAAAATAAAATAAGTCCCCATTGTTGTGAGCAACACTGTACACAGATTGTTGTTTCTTGTGCTCGAAAGCATCTGCAGTGTGCTGGCTGACTCCTGATGCCTGCGTGGTGTCAGGCTGAGTTAGCTGTCCACCGGGGTTTCCGTGGTACCAGGCTCGGCTAGCTAACTGCCGGGGGCGGGGGGGGGCGGGTACATGGTGCCAGGCTTGCTAGCTGACTGCTGGGGGGTGGTTAACATGGTGCCAGGCTCGCTAGCTAACTGCCAGGGGAGGGGGATGTTATATGGAGCCTGGCCTCGGCTAGCTAACTGCCGAGGCGTGGGGGGCTTGCATGGTGCCAGGCTTGCTAGCTAACTGCTGGTACTTTCATGGTGCCAGGCTTTGCAAAGGTCTTTAATTCGTGCGTTCAGGACAGAGAGGGTGAGCGCGTCTTTAATCACCAAGCTTTGGTTTCCAGGGCATTCTTAAAAACATGCAAAAACAACATTTTTAAGGGATACCTTTTAGTATGAGTGTGAAAAACATGACATATTTGACCAGGTACTTCCTTAAAACAATCGAAATACATTCTTGTCTCATCTTCTGTGGTTTAAAATGCCTTCAACAGGTTGAAAGAATTTAGATAATTTGTTTTAGAGAGAGATAAGGGTCTGACATTTAACACAACCCCAGGTGCGTGTGGTTTCTTGAAAAATGTCAAAAAGGTCACCTGATCGCAGTGTACCAACTCAGAAAAACAAGGGCACTCCAGTGTCTTAACTGAAACAGAACATAAATAAAAATTCCCGATAGAAAAAAGTGAGAAGTCAATTATTATAAAACAATTTTTGGGTTTTGTTGTCCAGACTTGGTTAATAAGGAAATGAATGATATTATTTTTTTCACCTCTGCTAATCTTTTTGTTTTAAAGTTGTTCAGTTTGAAGGATGAACTTATTTCTGTATTAATTTGAAAAGTGAAGTGTAACCGGAAATAATTTGATACCTTAATAAATTTGCTTTAAAATCATTAAAAATATTGTGCATTCGTTTCAAATGCTAGTGGGATGAATTTCATCAGAATAAAAGCCATTACGTTATGAAGCTGATTCATTCACATTGAATAGTTCTCCATTAGCACCACCCAAATTAGAAGTTCTACAGCTATGTAATAAAATACCTCATTTTGGAGAAGAAAATGCATAGACTCAATATTTTGTTATAAATGTCAGATGAACAGAATGAAGTCTGCTCTTGGTGCTTGACGTTACATCCATCAAAGTTAGTGGAAGATTGAACTCGCAGTAAGACTTGGCTATGATGGATCTAATTTAGGGTGCTTATTTCTCATGACCCTACATTTGTTTTCTTCGAGAAGGAATGTGATTAAGCGCCATGTGTTCTAACAGATGACTTAGTACAATTTTTCTGTCGAAGCTTGTTTTTTTTACTGTTATGCCAGTTTCTTTAAAACAATTATTGCTTGAAAATTGCTCTGTAAACAGGAAATAAGAAATCTCTGTGGCTCAGGGGGAGGTAAGCATTCTGAAGATTTCCAGGGCTTAGAAGCACAGCAAACTCAGTGGCACTGCAAGTTCAGCATGAAAGAGGACAGACGTGGACAAACGTGTCCGTTCGTTCCTCATCCTCCACCGGCCCAGCTTTTGACGGCGGCTGACCCACAGGGGGCATGCTGGTCACTGAAGACTGTGCTTAGGCGTGGTTGTTGGTTGTCGTTTAGGAGGAGCCTCGGGAAAGTGTGTTTTTACTGAGGGCACTCACGATGCTTCGCGCGCATAGAGCTCAGATGTGCCTGTCTACGGTTTCATGCTGTAGTTTTGATGGTAGTGGAGTAGGGAAGGTACCACCGAGTCCACCGTCCTGTCAAATGAGCTTCCCCTCCCAGTTCTCATCAAGGGTCACGTTGGAAATGTTTGACACGTTGCCTTCCCCTCTTTGGGGGTCTGTTGAGCTGAAGTCCGTGTGCTTGGAGACACCCCTCGGAAGCCCGGCAGCTCTTCGCTTCTCACGGAGAAGATCCCTGAGTAGGCACATGCCGGGCAGAGTCGGCTGCCCTCTGCTCTAGCCTCGCCCCCAGGACCCACAGTGTAGCGGGTCTTCACGCCGCCATGGCTCCGGCCTCATGTCAGAGGCCACGTCTGAGGGCTGTCAGGAGTTTGGTCCCCAGCACCTACAGAGCCCCGAGACCAGCTCCGGCTGATTGAGACTGCTAGGAGGGAGAAGGCACAGGGGTGTCCTCGGAACACCAGCGTTTTTCTCACCGAAAGTGACTCCCCTTTGATTACTGCTCATGCCTTATCAATTAGCGTCAACTGAGTTTCCATTTTTTTTTTATCTTTTTGGGTTACACCCGGCGATGCACGGGGGTTACTCCTGGCTCTGCACTCAGGAATTACTCCTGGTGGTGCTCGGGGGACCATATGGGATGCCGGGGATCGAACCCAGGTGGGCTGCATACAAGGCAAGTGCCCTACCCGCTGTACTACCACTCCAGCCTCTCAATTTATTTTCACTTGATTTTCTTTTCAGAGGCTTCCCAGGCAGTGCTGAGGGGCCCCAGAAAACTCTCCCAGACCAGCAAGGTCGTGGTCGGGTGCCAGCCCAATTGGGTTGAATGAGACTTGGTGGTGAACATGAAGCCTGCCCTGAACTGGGCTGTCAACGTTCAGATCCAAACTCCTAGCAAGTAAAAACGGTCTACTCTAACAATGTAGTTTAGAGTACATGGAGCACAACTTTCCTTCTTTTTATCAGAGATTTAACTTGCCCGAGAGTCCTTGGGGTTGATCCTCAGCACCACAAAAATAGTGTTCCCACTTGCTTGGGAGCTACACCTGGCAGTGCTCAGTGCTTCTACCGAATCCCACTCAGAGATCCTCCCAGCGCTGCACATGCTCCCACTGTAGGGAGTTGGACCAGAGTTGGTCGCATACCAGGCCACCCTCACCTGCTGTACTTGCTCTCCATCCCTGAGGCATGTCTGGGGGCAGAGCGGGTGGGCTATGTCCGGCATGGAGCAGGGCTGATCCCTGGCTCTCTGGCCAGCAGCATGCACGGCCAGCGCTTTGGCCATGTCTCACCGCTACGGTCCCATCATTTTTAAACAACACACAGTGTTTGTGGGAAGTTCTGTTGGCCTGGAGTAGCACTGGGAATAGCAATCTATAAGATACGTGTTCCCTTCTGTGTGGAAAATTGAATCAGCTTACACATTGAGGTGGTTGAAACACTCATGGTCGTTGATTCCAATTTTTTTTAATTTTTGCTTTTTTGGGTCATACCTGGCAATGCACAGGGCTTACTCCTGGCTCTGCACTCAGGAGTTACTCCTGGCGGTGCTCAGGGGACCATATGGGATGCTGGGAATCGAACCCGGGTTGGCCACATGCAAAGCAAACGCCCTAGCCGCTGTGCTATCTCTCCAGCCCCGGGAGATTCCATTTTTATATCATAAAAGAATGAAGTGTATTTGTTTGGCAGATTTTAGTAGCCCACTATCTCGAGTTCCATAAAACTTCCTGTTTCTTTCTAAGGTCAATGTTAGTTTAAGATACGGGTAGACCTGCAGTGGCCAGTGCGACCCCAGTCAAGAGTTTCCCTGTCAGATTGCCCTGCACTTGGAGGAAATGAAACGACCCCGCGTTGGTTTTATTTCTGTGATTTTTGATTGAATCACATTACAAAGCTGGTCATGAGTGGGGTTCAGTCATGCAGTGACCCGGCGCCCATCCCTCCTCCAGGGTACCACGTTGCTTTTCTCATCCCCGGAACAGTCGCCCTATGCACGGGGGTCATGGTGGAAATGACTCAAGTTTCTTCTCTGTCTCGTCTCCAGGCTCGCCAGTGTACTCAGTGGCCTGGGGCCCTGACTCTGAGAAAGTGCTCTACACCGCAGGCAAGCAGCTGGTCATCAAACCTCTCCAGCCCAACGCCAAGGTTTTACAGGTACTCGCTTCCTGGGCCCTGGGGGCCGCCTGGTCAGAAGGCCACTTCCTTCCTTCTTGAAGTATTGCCAGGTGGGGCTCGTGCCCTGAGCTGCTCCACCTGCCTGTCTCCTGGGGGTCTGTGTGCAGTCGCCGCTGCGGGCTTTGTGGCCACAGCTCTGGCTACTGCCCAGAGCGCGCCTGCTGCATTTTAAATGATGTTCACTCTCGCCTTGTTCCAGCTTACACGATGCCGGTGGGGTGTAAATGTGTTCTGAGAGATTTAACCATCACAGGATTAGGTACAATTAGCATCTTTTATAGTCACGAACCAGAGAGATAAGACAGAGGGGAGGGCGCTTGCCTCGCATCTGACCGACCCCGGTTTGATACCAGCACTGCCTGTGGTCCCCTGTGCCCCTCCAGGAGTGTTCCTTGAGCTGGCCATGGCCCAAAAATCAAAAAAAGAAACATCAAAGGAATGTCACAGAATACTGAACACGCTAGGAAAAAACAAACCCGCCGGTGGGTCCCATAATGTTTATGTTGCTATTCTAAATTGTAAGGAAAAGTTCAATCATTTTGTTTATAACTTTTGAGTAGGCCAAACTTACTTCTGTAGTTCTTATTTGTTTTGGGCCTCCCAAAGAAGTGCTCAGGGCTCACTCTTGCTCTGTGCCCGGGGCTCACTCCCACAGCTCAGCCCCTCCCTGCCCTACCTGCTGGACTGGCGCTCCGGCCTCTAGTTTTGTAGCTTTAAAAGGAAATGTTTGAAATATTCTATGTACCAAATGTCTCTATGTCAAGATGTTGCTTTTGTTCCAGTAGTTTATTTCAGGACGTTGGATTAATTTCACAGTAAGCCGAGAATGAGTGGATTCTGTTATCAAAACATTTGTTTTGGAGAGTATATATTTTATGTACCTTGAAAGCAAAGTGTGAGTTTCTGCTTGTTCCCAGAGCTGGCTTGGCCCAGATTTTATATTTTTTTCTGTGTACGTGAAAGCGGGCGGTTGGAAGGGTGTCTTTAGCCCTGGGTGCCGACCGCTGAGGGCAATGCGGGCGGGGGTGGGGGTTCTGTGCCTCAGTGGTGACGGAGCCTCGAGGTTCTGCGTGCCAAGGCAGAAACACTAACACCCTTGAACCGGGCGCACTTAAGAAAGCCAGTCACTCTTTGATACGGCGTTGACGGGTTCCAACATGAAAACGTATCTGTCAAGTCTTCAAGGAAACTCTTTTCTACTTATCTTGCGCAAGCATGATGAAAGCTAGCGTGTAATGACCCGGGTGTAATAGCTATCCCGGCGTGTGAATCACGTTTAAGAGCAGGACATCAGCCGTGCTTTGTAGATCGCCAGGTTCAGGGTGACTGATGTATACCTGTATGTGCGTCCCAGGTGATACCAGTGTGCGGGATATCTTGGGGCCTGGAGACTCGGCCCCAGGCCAAGTGCTGGCCTTGTGTGAGGCCCGGGGGTCACTTCCTGGCACCACAAAAAAAAAGGGCAAAGGAATTAGGGGACAGTTTGGTGTTCAGGAGAGGGGGAGTGCGTAGACTGAGTTCCAGTGTGTGGTACGTGGAGTAAGCTCAAGCCCCGAGAAGCAGCTGAGTCAGGATGTTCCAGCGGCTGTGAGGGGAGACAGATCTTCCCAGGGGGCGAGGGAAGCCTTGGAGGGAGGCTCAGTTCCGTCTCTGAGAGGAGAAGCCTGTGGGCTGCAGACAGGGCCATAGGACTGCCTGCTCGCACGCCGCTGGCACCGGGTGTTCCTCACACCCTCTCGGGTCCCTTGGGCACTGCAGGACTGAGTCCTGAGCACAGACTCCGGAGCACGCCCTGAGCACCGCTGGGTGTGGCCCCAAAACAGGCAGGGAAGATGGGAGGGAGAAGTCTTTTCCTGACTCAGTTTCTTCTTCATCTGTTTTTCTCGTAGTGGAAGGCTCACGATGGCATCATTCTAAAAGTAGACTGGAATTCAGTCAACGATCTCATTTTATCTGCTGGTGAAGACTGTAAATATAAGGTGGGTGACATTCGAGTTTATCATCTGCTTGAAAGAATCGAATTTTGGTGAAAAATATCAAGGCTATAAAACAGTTCTTTACATTCATCATGTAGCCTGGCCTTTTAACTCCTCGCAATGCAGCAGGCTGTCAGGTCATCACTTCCAGCTAGCATTGGAAAGTTCTGGCTTTCTCAGTTGGTCTGTCTAATTTGGTCTATACAATTCGATTTAATTAAGCAGCAATAAAATAGAAATGTTGGGAACCAATTTAGGTTCAAGACACATAACTTTGGGGCTGGAGTGATAGCAGCCGGTAGGGCATTTACCTTGTATGTGGCTGGCCTGTGTTCTATTCCCAGCATCCTATATGGTCCCCTGAGCACCGCCAGGAGTAATTCCTTAGTGCAGAGCCAGGAGTAACCCCTGAGCATCACTAGGTGTGACCCAAAAAGCCAAAAAAAAGAGAAAAGACCCATAACTTTGGTCCCCTGGAGTGAGACCAGAGCAGTCAGTCACTAATACTGTACCATGCTCCTTCTAAGCCCTTCCCCGGTACCTCGCGGAGGCCAGACTTGTTTGTGGTAGTGTGTGACTGGCCGGAAACGACTCTTCGTTCGCTTCTGTAGGTCTGGGACAGCTACGGCCGCGCGCTGTACAGTTCCCCGCCGCACGAGCACCCAATCACCTCCGTGGCCTGGGCTCCGGATGGAGAGTTATTCGCCGTTGGAGCGTTTCACACTTTGCGCCTGTGTGATAAGACGGGGGTAAGTGAGTGTCAGCCAGCCCTGGTATGCGGTCACGCGTGTGTGACACTGCTCACTGGGGGCTTCGCGGGTAAGAATGGTTCGTTGGATGCATCTCATGGCACCATAGACCCCTTCGATTGGTTCCAGAATTGGGGGCCGGGCAGCTGTTTGAGACGAAGGTGTGCAGGTGTGCTTGGCTCTTTGTGTTCCTGGAGACTCCCTGCCGTCAGCGTGGTGGGGCTGGGGATGGTGAAGTTGTTCTCTCTCAGCCTCACACACGTCAGCCCCCAGCGCCAGCCTGAGCCCCGTCCCCGCCTCGGTCCCCCCTGTCCCATGTCCTCACGTTGTCACAGCTCTTCCATCTGCTCCAGTATAATTCTGTCTCAAAGTGACATGTGAGCTTGAAAGAAGTTAAGAGAAGAAAGGGAGCCATTGATATGTATCAACCCATCTTTAACACTTGGTTGCTCTCCTTCCTTCCTTAAGATCCCGATTTTCATCAGTTGTCATTTTCCTTCCTTCTGAAAACGTTCTCTCGTCTCGCTGGCGGGGTGGCTCTGCCGTTGCTACACTCTGTGTATCTGCAAACGTCTCTGTTCTTCCTGCTTGTCCTCATGGCGCATCTCCCCTGGACGCAGGTGCGGGCCTGCTGCCCTTCTCCTGCCTCTGCTCTAGCCCTTTGAAGATGCTGCCCCCGGGGCGCGGGGCCCTCCGTCCTCAAGGAGACCCTCTGCTTAGCACTAACGCGTTGCCCTTGGCATGGCGAGAGCTGTTTCTTGGTGGCTTTGCCACTTTCTCTCACCTTTCAGTTGTTTCATGATGATGGTTTTCTCTGTTTCTCTCTACTCTGTACATTTATGATTTCACCAAACATGGAAAATTTGGGGTCATAATTTTTTATAATAAATTTCCCTTTATTCTCTCTCACTTTCTCTCTCTCTCTCTCCCCCCACTCCTGGAGTCCAGTTACACAGTTTCTGTGCTTTGGATATTGTCTTCACAGGTCAGCAAAGCTTTGTTCATTCTTTATTCATTTTTTTTTCAGTGTTCTAATCGGATCCATTTTTTTTTCCTAATTCATGTTTACTAACTCATTGGCCATTTCTAATCTTCTTATAAGTAAAGTTAACTCCAGATATTTTATTTTCTAACTCCCAAATTCCATTTATTTATTTTCTCATAATTCTTATTGGTTACCAAGATTTTCTGTTATTAAATATTCAAAACCATATTTCCATGAAGACCTTAACTCAATATTAGTTATGATTAAGTCTGGAGCAATATATCATACAGGTTCAATTTCAAATCAGTGCTGAGCTTATTTGGGTGTGGTCCAAAAACCAAACACACACACACACACACACACACACACACACACATCTTCATTATGACTTGGATTTTAGTTTTGGTTGTGTTTGTTTTGGGTCATACAGCCCTGCAGGAAGACACCGGATGGTGCCCGGGATCAGCTGTGCCTCCTGCCAAGCTCACTCCAGCCCTGGCATGTTGGGTGTGGGAGCCATGAGGGCTGGAGTGTCTCAAGAGCCCCCATGTTCTGTGTTCCCGGGGGGCTCTTCGGCTGACTCCCACCCCACCCAGTCCCCGGGGGCAGAGGTGCATCCGGCAACTTTCTCCTTCCCTGGATCTTAGCTGCCCTGTGTCAGTCCGCAGTATGTTACCAGGGCTAGGGGCTGTTACTCAGGATGCCCCCATCCTTCCCACTGGCTCCCCCAGGGTGTGTCTGCTTTTAAAGACCTTTCGAAGATTCCATTTGCTTCTCTGTTTCCCATCTCCCCTCTCCGGTTCCCGCGTTCACTTCTTCTCAGGACCCCGGACCCCCCCAGCTGGACCCCCCAGCTGCTGTCTGAAGGAACCAGCCCCTGCCCACCACATGCCCTGCGTGCCCCGGGGGAGAGGGAGGGCCACACCGCTGGACTCAGGGCTGCTTCTGGCTCTGTGGTCCTCAAGAACCATAGGCGCTTCCCAGGATTGACCTGCAAGGCCAGCACCTTCTCCTGCCTGTCACAGCCAGTCTCATCGTGGGAGTCAGGGACTCTGTGGCCTGTGGCCGACTCGCTTCCCATCTCCCCAGGGTCCTTTGGTCCAGTCTGTTCCTGGGGAAAGCCACGTTGCCTGACGGGTGAAGAAGCATCTTACCTGCGTGGTTCCCTCCTGCCCAGCCTCCCTTAGCGTGACTGGCCCAGCTGTTCCCCGACGCCGTCTCCCTCCTAGGCTTGCTCTCGTCCCCATGCAGCTACTTGAGTGTTTTCTGGAGCGCCTGGGTGCCGGCGGCAGTGAGAAGGCTGGCCAGGAGCCGCGATAACAGGGCGGTATCACTCGTTACAGATCGGAAGTTTAGACTGTCCTGGCAAAAGTGTGGGAAGTAATTGATTGTGAGTGGTAAGAATCTTCCTGTGCATTTGAGAGCTCTGTGTATGTTGCACGTGTGAGCGTGTGTGTGTATGCTATGCGTGTAAGTGTATGTGTGTGTGTCTGTACACTGTGTGTGTACACTGTATATGTGTATGCTGTGTGTGTGTATGTATGGGTGTGTGTGTGTGTGAGTGTGTGCCTGTTTGAGATTCACCGTTCAAGACAGGGTCCAGGAAAATAGCCGACTGCCTCGAGCAATGCACAAAGTATAGGCACATGGCAGTAAAAATATGATTTTTTTGTGTGTTCGGGACCACACCCTGCTTACTCCTGGTTCTGTGCCCAGGGATCACTCCTGGTGGACTCGGGGGACCAAATGGGGTGCTGGGAATCAAAGGCGGTCAGCCACATGCAAGGCAAGCGGCCTGCTTGCGGTGCAGTCGCTGCGGCCCCTGACCCACTCAGGAGGAAACGAGGCCCTTATCAGCAGGCTGTGCTGAGGATGCGGATCGGTTCGTGTGTGTGCGTACATGCGTGTGTCTGTGTCTGTGATGCTCGGGACCATCCTGGGCTCCCCCACCGTGAGATGAGCTCTCCCACTCCGTATCAGTCCTGAGAGGCAGCTGAGCTGAAGACAGTTTGGCGGCACGTGGCCAGCAGCCAGATCCTATCTTCCTCGACACGTGTACTGTGAAGAGGTCCTGGTACACATTCACAGAGCTGAACGCACAGTCGTTTCATCAGAGGGTGTGAGGAATCTTAGGAGTGATTCCCGGGTCCCCAGTAGATTGGCCGGGGTGGCTGTTACGCGCTGAGTCTACGGCAGCGGGCCTCAGCACGCTAACAACGGGGAAGAGGCAGCGGGGGAGAGAGTGCAGGGGCTCAGGTACTGGCTTGCCCTGCCGACCACAGTTCAGTTCCTGGCACACCAGATGGCCCCCTGAGCACGGCCAGGAGTGATCCCTCAGCACAGGAACAGGAGTAAGCCCTGAGCACTCCAAGATTGGCCCAAATCCCCCTTGCTCCAAAATGGGGAGAAAACTAGGTTATATCAAAGGAAAATTGGGAAGATTTCATGTAACATTTTATAAGAGAACTAGGTTTAAGAGAGCATGATGTTCTGTGATCCCACATATGTAAAAATGTACATAAAATGTATCTCTAACTACAGGCTGAAGGTATACCCATATTGCTGGATAATCTACTTGGGTCATCTTTTCTATTTTTTTTTTAATTTAGTCGCCGTGAATTTCAAAGTGATTCATGGTTGGGTTTCAGGCAAACCATGTTTCAAGCCCAGTCCCTCCTCCAATGCCCCCACTTCCCTCCACCAGTACCCCCCCATATATAATTTTGGGCAGTATGAGTCTTTGTTAGGGACGGTATTGTTTGAGCAGTAAAGGTACTTGAAAAGTAAAATGAGCAAAAAAGGCCTGACATTGTGACGGGCTAGGACCGCCAGGAGCTGGTCCTTGTGCCAGGAGTGATCCCTGAGCACTGCCAGTGGCCTCAGAAAGGAAAACTCCCGTGCATTTCCAGCCATATATTACCAGAAATCAAAGCAGGGAACCAATGTCCACTCACGGAAAAAAAGCAAGAAGCAACCATTCATGAGGAAGTCGGTATCAGACTCATTAGGCAGAGATTTTCTCACGGTCCTGAGCTGACCTTCCTTTTAGCAGCAGGTGGCGCTAGTGCTCGCCTGGCTCACGCCCAGGTTCAGCGTTGTCTTCATCTAGAGGCTTTGTGGAGTTGTACAGAGAAGGCTGAATTTGGGTGGTACTTCTCTTCTTCTTACTTTATTTAAGCACCTCATGTGCAAAGTGATTCATACTAAGTATTTTTGATTTAAGATTTTTCTTTATTGAATCACTGTGAGATGCATAATTACAAAGTGGTTCATGACTGGGTTTCAGTCATACAGTATTCCATCACTTGTCCTGCACCAGTGTGCGTTTTCCACCACCAATGTCCCAGGCTTCCCTCCCGCCACCTCCACCCTGCCGCTATGGTAGGCGCTCTCTCTCTCTCTGTCTCTGTCTCTGTCTCTCTCTGTCTCTCTCTCTCTCTCCCTCCCTCCCTCTCTCCCTCCCTCCCTCCTCCTTTTTCTCTTTTAAGCACTGTGGTCTGCAGTACTGAACAGGTATCCTGCATATCACTTTGCCTCCTTTCAAGCACCCAGTTCTTGTCCAAAATGATCGCTTCCTATTACTGTTGTCCTAGTGGTCCCCTCTCTGTCCTAACGGTGGCAGGCTTCCTACTGTGGACCAGTCCTTCTGGCCCTCAGTGTTCCAGCCCACTCCCACCACCAGTGGGACCTTCAGTGCACCACTGTCCCCAGTTTCTCACCCATGCCCCAAGCCTGCCTCTTAACAGGCACAAAATATTTTACATGAAAAATACTTCAGTAGAGAACTTGTGAAAATTGTTCCATCTCACCATGGGGTGATTAAGTCCTTGTCTGAGGGTTACCTGGCTTCTGTGCCCCTTTCCCATCTAGCCTGGTCACTGGGACCTGGCTGTCCGGCTTGTGTTCCGAGTTGTGTTCCAGTTGTGTTCGAGTTCCTGATTCCAGAGACTCCAGGATGTGTCCAGTAGGGAGGTGCGTTTCAGTGGCTTGGCTTTTGTCTCCTCCAAAGTTAGTGGAAAAACCGAGAGCTGGGTCCTTCCTTCCGTGGCGGTGGTTGTGGGATATGGGTGTGGCTGCTGGGCCTTTCGTCGGTGCAGGGTTGGGGGTGGGGGGTGGGGAGAAGCTGCCCACTCCCAACTCCAAGAAGACCTCAGAGCTCTCAGCCCCGAAACCAGTGTCCCTGAAATTTCCCTTGGGTTGGTATCTCTGCAGATGAGTCGTGCAGCAGTGAAGTCGGGCTGTTTGCGTGGTCGGTGCCCCAGAGTTCTCAACCAGAGGACAGGGGTCCTGTGGTCCTCAGCAGCTAGGTGGCATCTCCTCCGAGGCTCGGGGTGGAGCTGTGAAGCTGGCCGCTGCTAACTATGGTGGTGGCCGTGGGGTCTGGGCTCTGCTCTTAGGTTATTCATAGTGAAACCCCTTTACTTTTTATTTATTTTATTTATTTATTTTTATTAGTGAGTGATAGCACAGCGGTAGGGCGTTCGCCTTTCAAGTGGCCAACATGGCCAACCCGAGTTCGATTCCTCCGCCCCTCTCGGAGAGCCCGGCAAGCTACCGAGAGTATTCGATATGCCAGACACAGTAACAACAAAGTCTCCAATGGAGACGTTACTTGGCCCGCTCGAGCAAATCGACGATCAACGGGAGTGAGGTACAGTTGTAGACTTACAAATTTTTGTGCTTGGGTTTCAATTATACAATGATCAAGTACCCATCCCTCCACCAGTGCCCATTTCCCACCACCATAGGTCCCAGCATCCCTCCCACCCCCATCCCCCCCGTCCCACCCTGCCTCTGTGGCAGGGCATTCCCGTTTGTTCTCTCTCTCGTATCTCTCATTTTCCTGTTCGGCGCTCATTTGCCTTCCTCGGCGTGCTCTCTCCCAAGCTCTCAGCCTCTCCTCTGCTGTCCCGCAGGCATTCTCCGTGCTGTTCAGGGGCTACGCCTCCTGCTCTCCCTGAGGAGAGCCATGGGCCTGTGGGTCGGCGGGTCTTCAGTGTCTCTGAGGCGTGTCTCGGAAGTCAGAGCCTTCAGGGCCACTACAGTGTGGTCAGCAGGTCGGGGGCCAGGGACACACCAACAACCTCTGTAAGGAGGTGAAATCTCCCTGGACGGTGGGAAGTTGTCAGTGTTTGAAGAAAGACGGAATGGATTAGACAGGATAGATGGTTTCACCGTTGATTGGGCCCTGGAGGAGGAGAGACCGAGGGGCTGCATGCCCAGCGGGGGGGGGGGGGGGGTCTCTTTTGTGATAGTCTTAAAGTCAGTAGTTTCATGAAAATATGGTTTAAAAGTACAGCTTCAGGTGAGGGCTGCAATGCCGCCCACCGTGGGAGTGGCTGAGCTGCCAACCATTCCTCGCCGGAAGGTCATCCAGATGCTCTTTGATCAGCGGGCGTCCCTCTCCATCACCGAGTTGAATCTTGGTGTGGAGTCTCAGTCATCGGTATTTTCATAGCTCTTGTTGGTCAGAGGCAAATGATCTGACTCCATTCCATGGCCCGAGGCTGATGCCTTAGATCTTGAAGCTGGTCCCAGTGTTCTTTGCCGTGGCCTCGGGTGTGGCGTGTGTCCCTCTCGGAACCCCTTCTCGGCCACGGCCAGGGAGCCGCTCCTGTGAGCTGCAGTGGCTACGGTGAGCGGACGGAGGCTGGGCCCGCAGCCGCCTGTGATGGGCCTGAGCTCCAGGGGACGGGAAGTCTGCGGGAAGTAGTGAATCTCCCCGCCCCCCCTTCCTCCAGGAGCTCAAAACTAACAGTTTGTAAAAGTTACTCTGTGGAACAACAATTCTGTAATGCAGAGCAAACCCCCCAAATCAAGTTTTTATTTGACTCTGGGCTTTAAGTACGGAAGAATGGAAGGAGAATGTGTGTGAAGTTAGTCAGAGAAAAAAACAAATCATCTTTCTAGCAAGTAAGTCTGTTGTGTCTGAAAGAGAGAGAGTCAACTGGATCAGTCCTGTCACCATATACGGTCCCCCCAGCCCCCGAGGAGTGTCCCTGAGCACGGCCAGGGGTGCCCAGAACCACCACCAAAGCAAAGCAACAAAACCAATTAGAAGTGGGGACATCGGCGAGCCTGAGACTAGGAAGCCGTCTGTCTGCCTGTCTGTCTGTCTCTTTTCTACAGCATCTTTGTTTACCTCTTAGACACAATTAACCAGCACTGTGATAAGAATGGTCTGTGCTGTTTGCAGTCCTTGGGAAGTTTTACGTATTTTTTATCATGCTATTCTGCTTTGTACTTTAAAATGTATCTTCACAGAGCCAGCGAGGTAAGGTAACTCCCCCGAGTGCATTGCAACGCATATTGGCTCAAGTCCTGGGGTGGTCCCTGCCCCGGCTATCTCCCGTGCACACAGCCGGGACTGACTCCAGAGACAGAACTGGGAGTAGCCTGAGCACTGCGGGGTGTGGGGCAAAAACACACAAAGCTACTTCAGCGTCTCTGCGTAGTAATAAAAGCATCTCATGATTCCAGGGTAAAGGCGGCCTTGTCTAAATGTCCTTCCTAGGTCGTCATAGGCTCAGTTCGGGGCTTCTTTACTTTGCTGTTCAGGCAGGAAGTGCTTTGGAGGGCAGCACACGCTCGGTGGGGGACGTGGTTCAGTCCCTGCCGCACGGTCCCCGGCACTGATGCTCCGTGAGCCGGGAGTAGCCCTGAGCACTGCCAGCCGTGCTCAAAGTCCCGGGGGCAACAGAAACTGCATTATTTAAAAAAATTGTTTTCGGAGCCACTTTTAGTGGATGTTGGAATTACTCCCCCTCCCCCGTAGGAGCCCCCCGACATGTGTGATGGGCAGGGCCAGCCCAGGCCCAAGACTCGCAGACTCACACTCAGCTCCCGGTGCTCTCTTCTGGCTTTGGCTCCTCCCCAAAGCCCCCTTGGGTCATGGTGGTCACTTAGCGTTCGCGCTTCTTCTCGGCGTTCCCTTCCCTGTGGCTCTAGGAGGCGGGACCCAGCGAGCAGAGCACGGGTGGGGTGAGGCTTGGGCTGCCTTGGGCAGGCCCCCTCTGAACCCTCCTTCCCTCCCCAGTGGTCGTATGCGCTGGAGAAGCCCAACACTGGCAGCATCTTCAACCTGGCCTGGTCGGTGGACGGCACGCAGATCGCGGGCGCCTGCGGGAACGGACACGTGGTCTTTGCCCACGTGGTGGAGCAGCGCTGGGAGTGGAAGAGCTTCCAGGTGACGCTGACCAAGAGGCGGACCATGCAGGTAGGCGCCCTGCCCGGGATCCACAGGGTTCCCCGTGTGGGTTCTTTTTTTTTTGAATTGTTATGAGTGAAACACCGTGAGGTACAGTTGTAGATTTACAAATTTTTTGTGCTTGGGTTTTAGTTATACAATGATCAGGTACCCATCCTTCCACCAGTGCCCATTCTCCACCACCACCAGTCCCAGTAACCCTCCCACCCCCCATACCCCCCATCCCACCCTGCCTCTGTGGCAGGGCATTCCCTCTTGTTCTCTCTCTCCTTTTGGGTGCTGTGGTTTGCAAAGGAGGCATTGAGTGGCAATCTTGTTCGGACTATAGTCTATTCTCATCACATATTTCCCATCCTGAGAGGAACCTCCCAACACCCTTTATCTGGTGCTCCCTTCTCTATCTGAGCTGCCTTTTCCTGGGTGGGTTCTTTTTACACCGTGTAAAGTTAGTCACTTTCAAAATCTTTTAACCCAACCAGGTATAAATTTGAGGGGGAGGGGCTGGGGGATCCCGAGCAGTGCCCGGGAGCCAAGGGCCACTCCCGGCCACACTCAGTGACTGGATCTCACAGCTTAGTGCTCCCGTCTGGGGCCACCCTGGTGGTGCTTTGGGGGGCAGCCCTGGGGGTTGAGCGGCAAGGCCTGAGCCTTCTCCCGCGTGAACGACAGGTGGGGCGGCGTGTCTCTGCAGCGCCTGGAGCGTGAGACGTGTGGCCTTTGCAGCCTTGTGGTCATTTTGTCAGAGTTCTGAGAACAGTCTCCCTTGAAGGAGTGCCCATGGCAGGCCAGATGAAGACACGGGGGCTTCCTGGGGGTGCAGAAGCCCAGGGGAGTTAGGAGTGAGGCACTTGGTAGATTAGTGACGGGAGGTGGGCTGGGGTGTCCAGGTGGGTGCGAGCTCCTCTGGGTGCTGGACGGGCCCCCGCTCCCTCCTCCCTCGGGACTGGCCAGTGTCTTGCACATGAAAGTTGCTCCCACGATGATTTTCTTTTCCCCTTCCTGGAGAACCTGACATGGGGCTGTCAGGGTCCCTCAGCACATGCGGTAGCACTGGGGGCTGAACTCAGAACCTTATGTCTGCCCTGGGTCCTCTAAGCCAGACCAGCTTAGCCTGTTCTCTCTCCGAGACCAGACGCTGCTGAGCCGTGCACGCGGGGAGGGCGCCCCTGGGTGACTAGGAAGGCGCTTTCGCCACCTGCCATCCTCCCTGCCTCCACAGTACTTTGATTGATCTGGGGTCACACCTGTTGGTGCTGGGGGAGGGGGGCTCTTTGGTACAGGATCAAACCCGGGCCTCGTAAACTGAGGGTGTGCTTAGCATGACCTCGCCTGAGGGTCAGCTCACAGAGGTCATAAAAATTAGGGAGCGTGGGAGCACAACCGCGGGGTAACGGTGGAGAGATCGGGGAACACTGGTGCAGGGACTGGCGTGTTGTCGCTGCCGCTGGAGAGACAGGCCGTCAGCAGGATTGCAAACTGTAAAGCTCAATAACAAATTAAAATGAAGTCAAGCAAGCAGAGAGGCCGGGATATGAATCTGCGGGAGGCACTTGCCTTGCATGTGTGACGTCGTGGGTTCTGCCCTGGGAACCACACGCACAAATGGAAAATGAAAATAGAACAAAACCAAATATGGATCTCGGGGCTGGGGGATAAAGAGCCCTGAAGGTTGTAAACATTTTATTCACAATAAACACTTCTTTGTAAAGATTCAAAGCGATGAAATAGGTTCAAACGCTGGTAAAAAAATTTCGAAATACCAAAAGCAGATGTTGCATTTCTCAAATAATGTCACGGTCACGGTCCTCCCGTTGTTCATTGATTTGCTTGAGCGGGCCCAGTAACGTCTCCATTGGAGACTTTGTTGTTACTGTGTCTGGCATATCAAATACTCTCGGTAGCTTGCCGGGCTCTCCGAGAGGGCCGGAGGAATCGAACTCGCGTCGGCCATGTTGGCTGTGTGCAGGGCAAACGCCCTACCCGCTGTACTATTGCTCCAGCCCAAATAATGTCTTATAAGTTTTAAATTCATTGGTTAAAGTTTATTTAAAGGCTATACTGCCCAAATAAATCCCAAACTGTCATCTTATAATCATGCTAATGTGAATGTTACCCATTTATAATTCATATCATATTCATATCACGTATTGTAACCTATCTTCATGCACAGTATCACTTGTTATAATTAAAATATCCAGAAAGTTTCCCCCAGTCCCCCAAAAGTTGGCTGACCAAAGTTAGTGGGGGGAGGAGTGCAGTCACATACCCTCTGGCAGGGAGAGGGTCTGCTGTTGTCCCGTCTCCTGTCTGTGCCAGCTGCCCCCGGTTCAGAAGTACGTTTATGAGCGGTGACACCGTTATATGGAAATGGGGACACACACAAGGTCGACACACCAAGCAAAACCAAATACTCTTCAGCCCAACTATCCAGGCTTCAGAATTTGGATAGACAGGCTGCAGATTCATAACCTCTGAGTCCATTCGAATTTTTCCTTTGTTCTGTTTGCTTGTTTAAGGTTATTTTGTCTTGGGGCTGGAGCAGTAGCACTGCGGGTAGGGCGTTTGCCTTGCTCGCAGCCAACCCAGGTCCGATCCCCAGCATCCCATATGGTCCCCCGAGCACCACCAGGAGTAAGTCCTGAGTGCATGAGCCAGGAAGAACTCCTGTGCATTGCCGGATGTGATCCAAAAAGCAAAAAAATAAATAAAAATCAAAAATAAAATTATTTTGTCTTTGTGCTACGGGGGAATCAGACTAGGACCTTCCATCTGTAAAGCAAGTGCCCTGCCACGGAATGCGTCCCTCGCCCCTAAATCACAGAGTTTTTCATCCTAGGAATGTCATACAGACACATGCGGGGGTGCAGTGGGCGGGCGTCCCTGTGCGCTGCTCACCCGCCCACCAGACTATCGGCAGAGACGACCCCGTACAGGCCAGCACAGACGGGGCTGGGCGCTTCCCTGGCCAGCCCCTCCCGTCCCAGACTCTGCAGCCCCCCCCCACCGTGGGCTGTGCCCCCACAGCCCAGCCCCCCACACAGCGGGCCGGGAAGCACGTGGGGTCCCCTAGCTGGTCCAAGAGCTCCCGCTTCAAAGATCCACAGCTTCACCCGAGCCCAAGTGCAGGAGCATTTCCCAGTTCTCTTTTTGGCTCCTGGAAGGGGCTCACCGCACGGTGCTCAGGGCTCTGCCCGGCTTGTGTTTCGTGGCGGGGCTGCCCTTACCATCCAATGCATGTGTGAGCACGTCCTTCCGTGCCAGCTGGGCCCACCCGCCTCCCCTCCGCTTTCCTCCTCCGTGGAGTCTATTCTTGTGACCTTTCGTGCAGAAAGGTGACAGGGTGAGGTGCCCTTTGGAGGGGGGCTGACTTCCGGGTAGGCGCTTCCATTGCTTGCCCGTCGGGTCTTCCCATGCTGGTACCGACCAGGGATTAGAATAGTCCAGTGTGCCCAGGACCTGGTGGCCGACACCCAGAATCCACTGATTGCCGCCGTCCGGCTGTTTCCTGGGTCAGGTCCTGTAGTCAGACCCCCCTGTGGGCTGGCCCAGGCTCTCCTGGGTCTTTGCTGTTTCCTGCTTGCTGCAGTTTGGCCTCTTCACTGCCCGGCTGGTTTCCTTGTGCTTTGCTTTTGTTTGTTTGTCTTTCTATCCGCGCCCAGTTCTGCTCAGGGCTCGTTCCTGCCACTGGCGGTGGCGGCAGGGATTGACCAGGCTTCCTGCAGGCCGAGCACCTGACCCCTGCGCTCTCTCTGGCCCCCAGGCCCCCTGCTGAAGGCTGGGAATGAGCAATTATAACTCCAGGAGCCCCGGGAGCCTCTGAGCTAATGTCACATACAAAGTTCAAGGCCTCCCACAGGAACTAAACCAGTTTCGTCCCTTGAACCCCGCAGGGCACACTGCTTTGCCCAGATCTCAGTGTGAGAACCGGGCATATCGCTCAGGGCAGCTTGCAGGCTGAAAGCGACCCTGGGTCTCCTTGGTGGGGGGGTTTCAATTTCAGTAGCCGGCTTCTAAAGCCGCTCTGAGTGGTCGCTTCTCTCTGATTGATTAGGTAATCCAGAGAACACTGAACCGGGAGGCAGGGGGGTGGGAATCTAGCTAACCTGGTTAGAACGCGGCTGGTCTCACTGCCTGGTGGCGGCCATTTCCTGTCCCCCCTTCCCCCCCACGAAGGTCCGCAACGTGCTCAACGACGCGGTGGACGTGCTGGAGTTCCGGGACCGGGTGATGAAGGCCTCGCTGGACTATGCCCACCTGGTGGTCGCCACATCGCTGCAGTGCTACGTGTTTTCGTGAGTGCCCAGGGTTTTCGCCAGGCAGAACATCAGGACTTCCTGTCGCTGCGCTTGGCTTGTTTGCTCGTGTGGTTGGTTTGGGGGCCATCTCTGACTGTGCGGGGCTTACGCCTGGCTCTGTGCTCAGGGATCGCTTTTGGCAGTGTTGGGGGGACCACACGGGTTCCACGACTCCGACCAGGGTGGGTCGTGTGCAAGCACGTGGCTCCACACCTTTACCCCCTCCCTGGCCCCAAGACTATTTTTGTCTTTGTCTTTGATAGAATTTGTTTACATAGAAGTTTACTGTATATTTTTTTAATTTGTTTGCTTTGGAGTCACACCCATTTGTGCTCAGGGCTTATTCCTAGCTCTGCACTCAGGCATCAGTCCTGGTGGTTTTGGGGGCGCCCTGGTTGCTGGGGATTAAAGCTGGGGCAGCAGCGTGCAGGGCAGGCAGGCACCTTATGCTCTGTGGTCTCTCTAACCCCTGGACCATCGTTTATGTATCAGAGCTTTCTGTAATAATTCACCTGCATTCTCCGAGGATCACCACACCTTGTCCAGGCTCGCTCTGCATCTCTCTAGTCGATTCTCTGCTCTCTCAAATCTCCTTCCCACTAGGACACTTCGCAGGGCTGTGAGCAGTTTAGGAGATGGGCTTACATACATATGACACGGAGGGATTCAAGATACAGAAGATTAATGGAACAGATCTTAAACTGCAAAACAATTGAGTATTCGTGGGTGGGTTTTCTGTTTGGAAATGTTCTCTCCACCCATCCCTGTCTTTGGATAATATTATGCTTTAAAAAAAAATCAAAGGTGCTATTTCTTCATTTATTTATCCACTTACTCAGTAAGCTGGTTACGCTGACATTGAGTCCGGCTTGCTGTTCACAGAAATCTTTCATCCTGTCCAGTGATAACTCGAACCTGGCGGGAAATGATGGTGTCACGTTTATAGTTTCTCTCTGTATAATGTATAGTGTCTCTGTGTAATGCCCAGTTACCAAGACTCGAATTGCGGAGTCACCCGATCCCCACTTTACAGACTAGGAAATCAGCACCTGGTTACATCTGCTGGAAAGAGATGGGGCGAGGCTCAGACCCAGGCCTCCCACGGCGGGGGTTGGGGGGGGGGTGCACTGTCCTACTGAGCCACATCCCAGCCCAGATTCCAGTGTTTAAGATCATATGATCCATGGGGGACGAGACCAAATCTCCAATCCTGGCTTGCTGGCCACCCATTGTTCTTCCACTGTGCCGGGTGGCTGCTTTTCAGACGAGACTCACTGGCCACTTGTCAGAACACAGAGCTAATGAAGGACAGAGCCTAGGAACCACGGGATGCCGAGGGTTCCCCGGCTCCTCATCAGCTGTTACTCGAAACACTTAAGGAAAGCTTCCCGTGTGCTTGGGGCTGGGGACAACAGTTTTTACCCTCCCGAAAGTGGAGAATTTCAGAACGATGGGCCAAGTCGTAGAAACACAAATACATACAGTAACGGAAATGGAGGACACTTCATTTAAGGGGTACCTGTGTACTTGTTAAAGAGCATTTGTTTTGTTTCGTTTTGTTTTTAACTTTTCGTGTCTGTTTTATTTGTCTTTAGTACGAAGAACTGGAACACACCACTTATATTTGATCTCAAAGAAGGAACAGTCAGCTTGATTCTGCAGGCCGAAAGGTATTTGCCTCCTGCTTGACCCTAAGTCAGGACTGCAAGGTCCCTGCTGGCGGAACACACTCTTCACTCAACCATTTGGAATCAGCTTGTTTCTACTATTTGTGTGTTCAAATATTTTTTATTTACATATTTTTCCCTTTTTTGGTTATGGGGCCACACTCAGCGGTGCTCAGGTGCTCATGGACCAGGTGGGATGCCGGGGATGGATCACGTGCAAGTCAGACACCCTCCCCGCTGTTCTGCGGCTCCAGCCCTCTCCTCTTTATTCTAAAAGACAAAAATAAGAGAAGAAGGTTTCAGGTTCTAGAGCCGGGGAGGAGTGTTTCTTAGTTCCCCTGTTTCCTGTTCTGTTCTTCCCACTGTTGGTCAGTGCTGAAAGTCACTGAGAATGTTGACAGCGTGGCCCAAGTGCCGAGCGCCCGGCGGTCGGGCCGCAGGCGGTGACGGGGCTTGAGAAGGGCTCTCTCCCCCTCGCCTGTGCGTCAGTGGACGAAGGGCCCAGGAGCTCGCTAAGCTCACTGGGGTCGAGCGGAGGGCACAAGGGGGGAACCTGGCCAGTCTCTGTGCTCACCCCAACCCCGCTGACCGCACCCGGCTAGGCGGAGCCTCTAGGGTGCTCTGGCCGGCAGGTTCTCTGAGCGCAGGAAGAAGGACACTGGCGACTGAGAGAGGTGGGCAGGTGATAGGCAGGTGACCGTTTCCTAGTGCACCGAGGCTGGCACAGGTGGCCAGGGGGGAGGATCGAGTTCAGCTGTTTCCTGCGACGGAAAGGGGCTTGGTTTAGGGAGGGCAGCCGAGCCCATACGTGGAAGACTGCCGTTCTCTTCATCCTCTACACAAACGTGCCGGTTCAGTATTTGTTACTCTTTTCAGGCTGTGTCCTAGCTGGTCAAGGTGCATGTTCTTGCAGAATAGGTTGTCCCGGTGGAGTTCATTTCCAGTTCAGTCAGTCTAATCAATGGCTAAATAAATAGCAATACTCCTACATAAAAAAAAAAAAAGAATAGGTTGTCCAGGTAAAGGATATTTTACCTGCTGCCTGTTCCTGGTTGTCGTGTGGAAGTGTTTGCCCTTGGAACATGGTGTTTACTTCCAAGGAGGCTGAGAAGCTGTAGTGCCTTTAGAAGAGAAAGGCTTTTAGTGCCGAGACAAAGAAAGAATAATGAGGTTTCATGGTGCCAGCAGCAGCGAACAGTGTTCAGTTGCTGGTGTGTGTGAGCCAAACGCTGCACATTAGTAATGAATCATGGTGTTCATTATGGGCTGACTTTCCATTCATTTTAGGACTTGTTTCCATAGCTAGAGAGAATAATTAGCAACCCCTGGATCAAACGGTCCTGAGTCAAGAAGATTTAAAAGCGTATCAGTGCTCGGCACCAAGGGGGCAGGTGCGCGGTGCAGAGCAACACATAGTGTGAAGCAGCATCACCCCAAAGACCCCCTCAACGACTCCTAGAGTTTATACGATAGCCTGGAAGCATGTGCTCCTCTTTGATTCAGTAGTTGGAATTAGTCATGATAAGGACATGAACAGGCTGGCTTTACACAGCTATATAAGAATTCTTTAAAAGCACAAATAATTTGGGGACCGGAGCAATCGTACAGCAGGTAGGGTGTTTTCTTGCATGCAGCCAGCCTGGGTTCAATCCCTGGAGTCACATGTGGTCCCCCAGGCATGGCCAGGAGTAATTCCTGAGTGCAGAGCCAGGAATAGCCCTGAGCACTGCCCAGTGTGGCCCAAAAAAGAAAGAGGGAAAAAAAAGAACAGGTAATTTGCAAAAATTGCCCAGCAGGAGTAAATTATGGTATTTCTATTCCTTATTTGCCATAAATGTTCTCTGTGGAGATAGGGGATACCAGAGATCTTTTTTGCTTTCTTTGTACCATGAGTTTTTTACCCCATGTTCATAAGCTTTCAAAGGGAGAAATAAAAATATTATATTTCTATTTTGTTAATTTATCTATTAATTTTTATATGATACTTTTTAGACTTTCCCTAAACTATTCTGTAAGTGAAAATGGAAGTATAGTAAATGCCTATTGAGACTCTGTTGTTATCTTTATTTTTCAGACATTTTCTTCTTGTAGATGGTGGTGGTATCTACTTATATTCTTATGAAGGGCGCTTCATTTCTTCTCCAAAATTTCCTGGAATGAGAACAGATATACTGAATGCACAGACGGTGTCTCTTAGTAATGACACCATTGCAATAAAAGATAAAACTGATGAAAAAGGTGAGTACATTTTTATAATCTCTGTGTCGCGTTGCCATGAATTTAACACAGTGAATGTTTTCACCAGTTGACATCCATTTTCTCATCCATTAAATTTATTAACTTTACATGAAAGAATGAAGTGCTTCTGAAGTTGTTGTAAGCATGAAATAAAGAACTAAAGTTATCATTCTAGACCCAGCTCCACAGGGAAATAGCTGCCCTCACATGGGGTGGGAGGACCCCTCCCTATCCACAGGAAGGGAGGGAGGGAAGGAGAGAGGGAGAGCGAGGGAGGGAAGGAGGGAAGGAAGGGGGGAGGGAGGGAGGGAGGGAGGGAAGGAAGAGAGGGAGGGAGAAAAGGAAGGGAGGGAATAAAAGGAAGTGACAGTTGCTTTCTAGGTAGGGAGATGGCTCAGTGAACTGGATTGGAGGGAAGGACCAGTTTTGCCCCCAGACCATACAGGGTCCCCAGCACTGTCAGGAGTGGCCCCTATAGCGTTGTCAGGATATTCACACCCCCACACCCCCCCCCCCCACCAATGTAACTCAGGAATTTTTTTGTTTGGTTTTGGGCCTCGCCCAGCAGTGCTCAGTACTTACTCCTCGCTCAGTGCTAGCAGACTCAGGACCCTCTGGGGTGTGAGACTTGGGCCCCGTAAGCCGCGTGCTCGGAGCTCGCTGCTGCCCCTGGGTACTGAGAATCCCTATTCTCTCAGGGGGAGAGACTGCAGGGGTTCTGACGGTTCCGTTCCCCATCAGCCTTCAACGCTAATGCAGGAACCATGGCTCTGCTTTTCCCCAGTGATCTACCTCTTTGAGACGTCCACGGGGAAGGCCTTGGGTGACGGGAAGCTCCTCTCACACAAGGTAACGGACACAGCTCCATTTCCGGCCGGTCTAAAGTGGACACCAGAGGAACCTGTCTTGCGCTCAGAGTCAGCACACTCTGGCGTGTTCCCCAGTGTGTCAGTTCCCCTGAGCTGCAGATGAACCCAGGTGACGCCCTGGCCTAGTCCTCAGTGAAGTGTCTCCCTCGGGAACTGCCCGTGCTGGCTCTAAAGAAACAAACAAGCTGCTGGCGTCCCTCAACAGCCGCAGTTTCCCACCCCCAGTTCCAGCCAGTTTCGGTCTAGGTGTGAAGACAGTTAAATGGAGGCCACTGCTGTCTCTCGAGCATTGATCTCGCCTGGGGTGCAGTTCAACCTGCCGCTGGCACAGCCTGGGGATGCGTTTCTGCGGGACTGTGGGCAAGGGTCAGTTCCTCCGCTCCCTCCCGCCTCCGCATCCATCAGGGAGGCACTGACCTGTCCGCCTCCCCCAGTCACTGACGGTGCCCTGAGCATCATTTAAAATCAGTGCGCACCAGGCTCAGCCCTTAACGACATGGTACTCAGTTCTCATAGCGGGGCTTCTTGGCTCCTGGGTGAAATACAACAGTCTCCACACACTTTCCTCTAAGAAACCTTTTTTGTCTCATTTTTAGCGGACTATTCATAACAAGCAATACCAAATAAATTATTCTGGTTCTGCTTTGGGGGCAGGACTTGAGGTTCGGGATGGAAATACAGTGGTGAGAAGATGTGATGGTGGTAGGATTGGGGTGCGAATATTAAATGTAATCAAATATTGTGAACGACTTTATAAAAATAAAAATAGGGGATGGGTATTTGATCATTGTAAAATGGAAACCCAAGCACAAAATTTGTACGTCTACAACTGTACCTCATGGTGTCTCACTATAAAAATCAAAATCAAAATAAAATAAAATCAGTGTATGGGGGCCGGAGCAATAGTATAGCAGGTAGGGCTCTTGCATTGCACTCAGCCAACCCAATTTGGTCCCCAACACCCAGTATGGCCTCCCCCAAGCACCGCCAGGATTGATTCCTAAGTACAGAGCCAGAAGTAACCCTGAGCCCTCATAAATGTGGACCCAAAGCAAAAAGAAAAAAATCACTTAATAAGGTATAATTAGCATTCTTCACGATATGGTACTTTTTCTAGAATACTTTTCCAAGTTTAAGAAATAAACAATTTTGGGTGTTAGAACATTATATGACTGAAACCCAATCATGAACAACTTGAATATCACTTTGATTCAATTTTAAAAAATAATAAATGGAAAAAAATTAAAAATAAAAACAAAAAATCAACTGTAAGTATAATGTTAGTATAACTAATATTCTACTAATATAATGTTAGTATAACTTTCTTTTCTAATAATACTCTTATTATTAGGATGTAGTGCCTTGTTGAGTCATCAAGTCTTCCATTCCATCAAAGAAAGGTTCAATGCTTTTTTTCAGTATTATAAATATACATAATAATATGTTACCATAGTCATCATAAAAAAAAAGAAATGGACAGTTTCATTATTGTGGGGTGACTGTAGGCACCCTTCTCACTCTCACACATGACTCAGGAGATTTTCTCTCTGCCTCACATCATAGGAGTTTTAAGTGAAAACTCAAGATCTTTCCAAATGAGTAGCAGGACCAAAACTGGAGCTTGAGGCAGTCTCTTACTCAGATCAGGATCACAATCATCCTGTTGTTCGTTGATTGCCTCGAGCAGGCACCGGTAACGTCTCCTTTGTCCTAGCCCTGAGATTTTAAAAAGTGCCATATTCAAGGCTCTTTCAGGGTTAGGAGAATGAGACCCATCATTGTTACTGGTATTTGACATATTGGGTACACCACAGGGAGTTTGCCAGACTCTGCCATGTGGGCAGGTTACATTCGGTAGCCTGCCAGATTGTCCAAAGCAAGAATGAGATAATAAGATGTTGTGCGGCCGCATTTGCGGCCACACACTTCTGGGAGCTGGGTTTCATAGTCTCTGGGTCTTGCCCGTTGATGAGATTACACGGTGCTGGGGGGCAGTTGGTGGGTGTGATCCCTGCCTACTGGAAGATGGAGGATCTGGGTGGAGGATGCTCAGCCCTGATCCGAGCAGGCTTGGAGATTTCAGCCCCGGGACCCGTGTGCCTCTGTTCCTCTGCCGGTACCTTCATGCGTGCAGAGTGTGGTCTCAGCGTGGTTGTGGCTGGTTCTGGAGGTCTTCGGCTGCCGGGGCTCTGCTCGGGACGGGGAGGGAAACTCAACTCGCCCCACTCCAAGGGGCCCTGACGAGGATAGCCAGGCGTGGGGGCAGAAGACTCTGCGCTGTTGTCTTACTAAACAAACAAATATTCAGGGCTTCATGAGACAAAGGGCAAATCTGGACTATTTAAGTCCCTAAAAGCATAAGACACTCTCACCTATTTCCATAAACCTACCCTTACAACCATTGTAAGTGCAGGCAAACCGTCCAGAATGAAAGGTGACACAAGGGGTGATCAATTGAGACAGACCCCTGTGAGCCGCCACACAGTGGCTGAGGGAGGGGCACGGAGACCCCTCCAGCTGTCCACTCTCGGACCCGGGAAAGGTTGTTTTGTTTTTTTCAAATTCTAAGCATCTGATTAATAATGCTGTGAATGATAGGGTTTCATGCACAGTGTTCCAACCCCTCACTTCCTCTTACCCTTTTACAAAGGCATTTTCTGAGAGATATTATTAGCAGTATTGCAGCAGGTAGAGCACTTGCCTTGCATGTGTCAACCCAGCTGCAGTTCCTGGCATCGCATAGGGTCCCTCAAGCACCACCAGGAGTGATCCCTGAGCACAGAGACAGAAGTAAGCCCTGAACACGCTGGGTATGTGCCAAATACAAAAGGGTATTTCCCTTGTAAAGAAGAAACTGCACCTTAGTGCAGTGTCTGGATTATTAGTATGTTATTAGCATATTAAAATTATTGCAGAGATCCATTTTATCATTATAAGTGGTAGAGTAATTCATTTTTAAATAAATATTCATAAGAGTTTTAAATAATCTGATGTTAAGTACTAACCCAGTGTTTTCATTATTTTTGAATTAAAGAGTGAGATTTTGGAAATTGCTCTGGATCAAAAAGGACTTACCAATGACAGAAAAATTGCTTTCATTGACAAAAATAGAGACCTCTATATCACCTCAGTAAAACGATTTGGGAAGGAAGAACAAATTATCAAACTTGGTAACGTAACATTAGTATGTTTCACATTTTCATTTCTCTCAACTTTCTTATGCCATTTTAAACAGCTTACTTGCTGAATGAATTTATTGGTAAATTGGTTCACACCATCTCTTAGCTACTTCGCTACTCCACTCAAAAATTAATTTTTTTAAATGTAGGCACAGTGATTAGAGTGATAGAGTTAATAATAGAGTTTCAGTCACACGCTGTCCCAGCCCACATCCGGAATCTTGACTCCTTTCTCGTATATTTAGCTGCTACAACTCAATTGACTTTGAAAGAAAGACAAGTTAAAAATATCATGGTTCTAGGAGAACTATTCATTTGTTTCTCTAAGATCATGGGCGAGAGGCTGGAGCAATAGGATAGCACGTGGGGTGTTTTCCCTGCATGCGGCCAACCTGGGTTCAGTGCCCAGCACCCCAGGAGTGATCCCTGAGCACCACTGGGATATGGCCCCCAGACAAAAAAACATCAAGAAGAAAAACCCAAGCACAAAAATTTGTAAGTCTACAACTGTACCCATGGTGTTTCACTAATAAATTTTAAAAAATAAAATATGTAAAAAGAAAAAAAATGAAATTGTGGGTGAAGTTTTATGTGTTTGATCAGAAAAGCATCATTCCTGCCAGAAATTAGACGTGTTCTGTGTATGTCAGCTGCTTTTAAAGAAATCTTTGGATACATGGTAGAACTAATAGACATTTTTTAATCTCAGGAACAATGGTGCATACTCTGGCATGGAGTGACACGTGTAATATCCTCTGTGGGCTGCAGGACACTCGGCTGACCATATGGTATTACCCCAACACCGTTTACGTGGACAAAGACCTTCTGCCCAAAACCCTGTATGAAAGGGACGCCAGGTAATGCCTCTGCGGAGTCCCCAGGGACTGACTCTCTCTCTCTCTCTCTCTCTCTCTCTCTCTCTCCCCTCTCTACCCCCTTTCCATCCCCCCACCTCCCCCCATGGACAGCAGGTCAGGACTGTTGTGGTTTTGCCGCAAAGCTGAGTACTACCAGCGATCTTTCATTGGTCTCTTCGCTTTTACTAGAACATTGCTCAGTTAAAGTGAACTTACTGAGGCTCTTTCAAGCTCATGTTCTCCCTGGAACAAGTATCTCAGGCTTTCTCCACACTGGAGAAGCCTGTGTTCTTTCTCTCTATCTGTCTGTCTGTCTGTCTGTCTGTCTGTCTCTCTCTGTCTCTCTCTGTCTCTCTCCTCTCTCTGTGTCTCATTCTCTTTGTCTCTCTGTCTCTGTCTGTCTCTCCGTCTCTCTGTGTTTTTTTGTGGGGCCACACTTGACCAATGCTCAGAAGTTAAACCTGGCTCTGTACTCAGGAATTGCTCCTGACGGTGTTCATGGTATCATAAGGGATGCCCGGGATCAAACCCAGTTTAGCCATATGCAAGACAAGTGCCTTACCTGCTGTTTTCTCTCTCTCTCTCTCTCTCTCTCTCTCTCTCTCTCTCTCTCTCTCTCTCTCTCTCTCTCTTTCTCTCTCTCTCTCTGAGATAGTTACAAAGTTGTTCATGATTGGGTTTCAGTCATGCAATGTTCTAACACCTAGTCCTTCACCAGTGTGCTACCCCACCACCAAGGTCCCAGCCTCCCTCGATGGCAGACTCCTTTCTTCTCTCTCTTCCTTTTTCTCTACCTCCCTCTCCCCTTTACCACCACCTTTTAGCCACTGTGGTTTGCAGTACTGCTACTGAAATTCTGCTACTTTATCTTGTATATCACCTTACCTCCTTTCAGCACTTGTTCTTGTCCAGAGTGATCATTTCCAACTGCATTGCCATAGTGGCCCCTTCTCTGACTGCCCTCCCCCACAACTTGTGGCCAGCTGCCTGCCACGGACCGGTCTTCCTGGCCCTCGTTTCTACCACCTTTGGGTATTAGTCTCATCTTACGTGTTTTCGTATCCCGCACATGAGCACAGTCATTCGCTGTGTTTCTCCCTCCAACTGATCTCACTCCCCATGGGACTGTCCTTGTCCATCCACATTTTAGCACACTTCATGGCTTCGTCTTTCCTAACCACTGTGTAGTATTCCATCGTGTAGATGGTGTTCCCAGACACTCGGGTTGTTTCCAGATTCTCCCGCTGTGCGCGGCTGCAGGGAACATTGGCGTGCAGGTGCTGCTCTTTGGGGGTCTGGGGACCCTCCAGCCGTGTTCTCTCACAAACACATATTCTTTTCCTCTCCCCCGACATCTCAATAAATTTTATTCAGTAAAAGCGATCTTACTTCAGTTTTTTCAAAGCTATTGACAGAATAATTTGGAAGTGTTGTAAAGTATCAACTATTCATTTGTTCCATGTGAATGTAATTTTCAAGCTTAATGTTGCCATTAAGGTTGGAAGGTCTTTTCAGTATGGCTTAGCGATTTTTTTCTTTTGGGGTCACAACTGGCAATGCACAGGAGTTACTCCTGGCTCTGCACTCAGGAATCAGTCCTGGCAGTGCTTAGGGAACCATATGGGATGCTGGGAATCGAACCGGGGTCGGCAGCGTGCAAGGCAAATGCCCTACCCGCCATGCTGTCGCTCCAGGCCCTGGCTTAGTGATTTAAATCTTAGGTTTCCAGGGATGTATGTCTCTAGAATCAATTTTTTTTTTATCTGTCTTTAAAGACAGAAAACATATGTGGTATAAATTGAAAAGTTAAGAAGTTTACATATGGGTGTCTGTGCAGCAGGTAAGGTGCTTACCTTGCATGTGACTGACCCAGGTTTGATCCCCAGCACCCCATAAGGTCCCCCAAGTTCTAGACTGCTCCCTGAGTGCAGAGCCAAGAGTTGGCTCTGAGCACAGCCCGGCGTGACCTTCCCCCCAAAATTTCATATATATTTGTGTTTTATTATTTCATATGTGTATCATTCTTTATATTAGAAAATCAAATATAACTAATTTTCTAAGAAATAGCAAAATAAGATCTCTTACTCTGTAATAAAAAAAGAGATACAAAATTTCTCCACATTTTGACTTTTAAAAAAATCTATCCTGAGTTTTTTAAGCATCACGTTCACAACCTTTGCAAAACTAGAGACATCATATTAAAATAATGTCAGTCCTTTAACTTAAATTAGTGTGCCTTTTATGAGAAGATAATGTTGGGATTCAATGTCATCCTCCCAAAGGCTGAATCAAGTGATCTGCTCATCTGCTTGACTCCCCCGAACCCGGGTCATCCCAGGTGCTTCGGAAACAGCCCTGTGACATGCATCTTTTCCTCTTTAAATTGTATTTTGTTTCAAGGGTTTATTGCAGCTTAGAGTCAGATGCTTATTGGAGCAGGGATAGTTGGGAGGGATGGAGGGTGAGTTTCGGGACACGGAGCCAGCGTCCGTTCTGCATGACGACATCCGTGCCCGCACTGAATATCTGCCCGAGTGTGAGTCACGCCCTGTCTTCCACCCGCAGTGAGTTCAGTAAGAACCCGCACATCGTGAGTTTCATCGGGAACCAGGTGACCATCCGCAGAGCCGACGGCTCCCTGGTCCACATCAGCATCCCTCCCTACCCCGCCATCCTGCACGAGTACGTGAGCGGCTCCAAGTGGGAGGATGCCGTGAGGCTCTGCCGCTTTGTTAAGGTGTGGCTCCCGAGCCCTGCTCTGTGAGGGGTGTGTGTGTGTGTGTGTGTGTGTGTGTGTGTGTGTGTGTGCGCTTCAGATCCCTGGCTTTGTGTGTGTGTGTGTGTGTGTGTGTGTGTGTGCTTCAGATCCCTGGCTTTGTGTGTGTGTGTGTGTGTGTGTGTGTGTGTGTGTGTGTGTGGTGCTTCAGATCCCTGGCTCTGTGTGTATGTGTGTGTGTGTGTGTGGTGCTTCAGCTCTCTTGTGTCTCACCGCAGGAGCAGACCATGTGGGCTTGCCTCGCTGCTATGGCTGTCGCGAATCGAGACATGACCACGGCAGAAATAGCCTACGCAGCTATCGGTGAAGTAAGTGGCGCGTCCTCCCCTCTAGATGCGTGTCCAGGCATTTCTCCCCCTGCTTGGCTATGACCGCGCAGATGTTCCCACTGCAGGTGTTTCTCTCTCTCTCTTTTCCAGATTGATAAGGTCCAGTACATCAACTCCATTAAAGACCTTCCCTCTAAGGAGTCCAGGACGGCGCACATCCTGCTCTTCAGCGGCAAGATGCAGGAGGCCGAAACGGTGCTGCTCCAGGCCGGTCTTGTGTACCAGGCCATCCAGACCAACATCAACCTCTACAACTGGGACAGGTGATGACGCTGTGGTGTGCACTGGGCAGCGATACCCACTCTCCGCCCTTAGTTACGCTTAAGGCCCCGGAAGGCTTCAGTCGCCCCTGTGCTCACAGGCACTGAGAGACCGTGCTCCTCTGAGCTGTCTGAGGAGACACGGGGTGTGGAGGAGAGCAGGGCTGCGTCTTCGGTCCCTGTCCCAGCTGACCGAATGGTGTCACCAACATTGGCAAGTGTGGCGGGGGACGGGCGCCTTCCATCCTGGGTGTCTTGAGTGGGGACTGTGTGGGAGCAGGCCTCATCCCCGGCCTGGAGTGTGCGGGAAAGGCGAGCTGAGAGCTGGGCAGGGACGGGCTGGGCAGGGCGTGAGCGTGGCGAGAAGGTGTGGGCACTTACAGACTGGGGAGGAGGAAATGGGGAGTGTGGGAGGGTGAGGCCTGCCAGCCCGTGGGTCTGAGCTGAGGCTGCTGGCGTGAAGGCCGCCCTGCACTGGGGGGTGCTTCCGCCCTCATGCTCCTTGGGGAGGGTCACCCTGGGCTCAGGGACGGGCTTCTCTCTCTACCAAGAACAAACAGGGAGTCCTCCTTCCTGCTGGCCTCTCTCTGTCTTTCGGACCCCTGCAGCGCAGCACTGGTGCCGGGGCTGGTGGTCACTCTGGACGCCCGCTGGTGGCCTGTTGGGAGCCCAGACTGAGGGCAGAGACCAGCGGCCGAATATAAACACTGGGCAGCATCGAGAGAGCGGCCTCGGCTTCTCGAGTCGTGCCGCGCTTTCACGGACCCCGTGACTTTCTTAAAATTGAAGTCACAACGTCTTCTTATTGAAGCTATAACGTCTTCTTCTGTAACTTTGTTCTATTTAAAAGTCAGAGAAGAAACGTGGACTTATTCCAGCCCATAATCTAATGTCGCATTTGTTTGGCTGCCAAACAACCATTTTGAAGCCCGAGACACACTGTTCCCATAACCCTTGTAGGATCTGGAGTGAATCCTCTGAACTGCTCCCGAGCCAGTTTTGCCCTGGCGGGTGCTTTGGAGAGCGTGTAGAATTGCTCTGCCGTTTCTTTCAGCCACCGCTGTCCAATCAGAGAGCCAAACTCTGTCTGTAGTAGGGATAGCGGGAAGGGCCACTAATGGTGTCTGGTGTCAGGGTGCAGGCTGGGATGTCACGTCCTGTCCTTTCTGCATAATTAAAGGTATTAATGACCCAGAACCAAGTATCGGGTTTTGAAAACCCCACCCAGAATAGATGCTCAGCACTTCCCACGGAGAACACTTTGTCTTGCGCCCTCGGGAGCCCCTCCCCCCAGACAGTGATAAATAAGAAATGGGCGCTGGCCTCCCTTGCTCCACTGGGCATCCCTGCCTCGGCCTGGGGAATGGGGCAGGCCCTGCCCGTGACTGTTCCTGCGTCCTGCAGCACCGCGGCCGCCTTTGCCATTACCCATTTTCTCAGAGAGACTCAAAGTTGCTGAGAAGGCGGCATCTTTGTGAGGCGTTTGTGGTGGGGGCCAGAGCTGGGGGCTGGGGTTCAGGGGCAGGATTCTTGGCAGGTTGGTTGGTGGGTTGTTTTTGCTTTGTGTTTAGGTCAGAGCCAGTGGTGCTCAGGGATCACTCCTGGCAGTGCTCAGGGGACTGTCTGGGCAGCCGGGAATCGAACCTGGGTTGGCCGCATGCAAGGCAAAGCCCCGCTGCCCTCTTCTCTGACCCCTGTTGGCTACAGGTGCCACCCTGACCTGGCGCTCAGGCCAAGTGCATCGCTGATGCCCGCCTGCCTGCGTTTTCCTGGAAATCTGTGTGTTGAGGCCTTGTGTCGACACCCTTACCTTAGAGACTGTTTCATTCTGTCCTTGATCTCTCCCGGCCTCTGTCAGATTCAAACCCGTGGCGTGTCCAATGACTCGTTCATCCTTGCCTCACAGATGCCCCTCACAGGTTCCTAAAATCCAGCTTTTTGTAAGGAACATGGCGGCATCTGTCCCCAGGCCCCCAAACTCACTCGGCTGCCGGGGACAGGCGTTTGGGACAGCTCCACGGCTGCCCTCACCCCCCTGCAGGCTGTACCTGCGGGCAGCGGCTTTGGGGTACCAGGGCTTCCATCAGAGTTCATTCAGATCCCACTCGCTGTCAGGAAAGTGTGACCTTGACAGTGACGCCGGCCCAAAAGGAAAGGCACTTGCCCACATGCGGCCGTCACGGCCATCCCCAACACCATACTTGGTCCCCTGAGCATCACCAGCTGTGACCAAAAAAAATAAAAATCCACCACAAAACTCTTGTTACTTCAGTACCTGGACTTGGATGGGGTTCTGAAAGTCCAGCGCCTCTTCATTCACTTTTTCAAAGTCAAATGGTGAAAGGTTCTTTGTCGGGCTCTCGGCTCTGAGATAGCTCTCTTCATGGGAGTTTGCTTCACTTTGCAAACAACCCAAGGAGAGAAGTGTCAGGCTGACTGCAGGCTCAGAAGCCGCCGCAGGCTGGCCAGGCCACTCAACGTGGGGGGAGCCGCTTCACTCGCACGGCTTGGTGGGCTCAGGACTCTGCGGGGGCAGCGTCTGCACAGACGCTCAGGAAGCTGAGCCCGCCTGGCCCTGAGTGAGTGCAGAGCTCGGGGGGACAGATGGCCTCTCGGCAGAGGCCACAGCAGCAGGGCTGGAGGGGAAGCATGGACAGAGGGAACAGGAGGGGCCCCTGGCCCACCCTCTTACCCCCAGCTTATGTCCCCAGAGGTGGCAGAGGCAGCACTGATGACCCCCCTGCCTTATTTCTCATCGCAGGGCACTTGAACTGGCCGTGAAATATAAAACGCACGTCGACACAGTCCTCGCCTACCGCCAAAAGTTTCTGGAGACGTTTGGCAAACAGGAAACTAATAAACGATACCTACAGTACGCAGAAGGGGTAAGTGGCTTGCAGTATTTCACAATGGTCGACTTTCATTATTAGTATCCCAATGGCATGTGCTTCGACTAGTTCGGAACATAGTTCCCCAAACTCCCTCTTCTCCTTGTAGAGCGCTCGTACTCAGGCCATAGGGTCATACTGAACTTTCTGGAGCCTTTCTGCGGGGGGCGTTTTCAGTGGGCTGGTGCTCAGGAGCTCCTGCCTCTCTCCTCTGCTCAGCCCCGGTGGGCCTTGGGGAACCCCCATGTGGTCCTGGGGATGTCGCTGAGGTTGGCGGCGTGCCAGCAGGTGCCTTAACCCCTGGCTGCCTCTCCGGCCGGCAGCCTCCTGTGGGTGCATTTAGGCCTGCTGCGGTTGGGGGCTGGTCTCCTGGGGGAGAAGAGGAAGAACAGGACCACCTGGGACAATGCTGCCATCACCCTGGGTCTCCCCACGGGCGCCGTGCCCCTGAGAATCGCATTGTCCCTGGGGCAGGTGGAGGGGGGACGTGCCCTTCGAGAGACGCATTGTCCCTTGGTGGGGGCGGGGCGCCCACAGGGCCGGAGAAGGCTAATGTGCGGGCAGAGTCTCAGCTCCCTGCGGACTGAGCCCCGGGAGAGCCAGACCCTGGCCTGAGCCGAGCCGCAGTGGCCACCTGCCCAGACTGCAGGGACAGGTCACCTCCAGCCCCCAGCTCTGGAGACTTGTAACCCGACTCGGCCCGGCTCGCTCCTGGCGGGAAATCACGGCACAGCTTATCCGGGCTGCAATTCCTTCCAGCATCGGGTGCCTGCTGTCTGTGTTTATTTCTTCTTTTAAAAAAATTATTTTAGGGGGGCTGGAGCAATAGCACAGCGGGTAGGGCGTTTGCCTTGCATGCGGCCGACCCGGGTTCGATTCCCAGCATCCCATATGGTCCCCTGAGCACCGCCAGGAGTAACTCCTGAGTGCAGAGCCAGGAGGAACCCCTGTGCATCTCCAGGTGTGACCCAAAAAGCAAAAAAAAGATAATTAAAACTATTTTAGGGGCTGGAGCGATAGCACAGTGGGTAGGGCATTTGCCTTGCACGTGACCGGCCTGGGTTCGATTCCCAGCAACCCATATGGTCCCCTGAGCACCTCCAGGAGTAATAATACCTGAGTGCATGAACCAGGAGTAACCCCTGAGCATCACCGGGTGGGACCCAAAAAGGAAAAAAAAAATTTTTTTAATTTATTTTCATGGAATGACAAAGTTATTTGGGTTTCAGGTGTGTAAGGCCTCACCCCGACCCTTCGCCAGCACCCCTTCCCTCCAGCCCCGTTTGCCGCCCACCGCCTGTCTGCTTCTGCGAGAGGCTCTTTTCAGCACCGTGTTCTGCAGCCTGTAGGGTCTCTCACCTAACACTTTCCCTGCTTCCAGCACCAGCTCCTCCCCCGCTGAGCGCTTCCCTCCACCATAGACCTGGCCCCCTCCTGATCCCGACCGACTGTTTCCTGCGAAGACCCGTTCTCATGTTCTTGGATTCCCCTGTCTTCCGGTGTTCTTATTCCACCTTTGTTTTCTTTATTTCCTGCACACGAGAGACCATTCTGTGTCCGTCTCTCTCCCTCTAATTTCACTCAGCACGGGACTCTCCAGGCCCCTCCGTGTAGCGGAAAGCGTTATGACTTCATCGTTTCTTGTGGCCGAGTAATACTCTGTTGGGTAGATGTACCACAGTTTCTTCATCCAGCCGTCTGCTCGTAGGCACTTGGGCTGTTTCCAGATTTGGGCTGTTGTGGATAGCACTGCAGGGAATATAGGGGTGCAGAGGTCTTTTCACATGTTTTGTTTTGGGGCCCCTGGGGTATGTTCCAAAGAAATGGGGTTGCTTGCTCAAATGGAAGCTCCATTCCTAGATTTATTAGGAATGTTCATATTGTTTTCTAGAAGGGCTGGACCAGTCGGCATCGCCCCGAGCAGTGAAGGAGGGAGGGTCCTTTCTCCCTGCATCCACACCAGCACTGTTGCTTCTGGTTCTCTTGGATGGGGGACAGTCTCTGGTGTGAGACCGTGTCTCATTGTTTTGATTCGCACCTCCCTGATGGTCAGTGATTAGAGCATTTCTTCAGGTGCCTTTTGGCCTTTTGTGTTTCTTCCTGGAGGAAGTCTCCCTTCATCTTTCTCCCCCTTGTTGATGGGGGTGGGTTTTTCCTTGTAAAGTTCTCTGGGTGCCTTCGATACCTCCAACACCCCTTTCAGAGAGCGGTGGCACATTTCCCCCACTGTGGGCTGTCCGTGTCCTTCCTGCTCCTCTTTCCTCTCGAGGGGAAGGAGCTTCTTGATAGCATCGTCTGTGTTTAGAACACGGGCCCCAACTCTGCTCAGGCTCCTGGTGCAGTGCTCTGGAGCTCCACTGTTTCCAGGAACCCACTCCAGATCGCGTGCACGCGAGGCATTGCTGCAGCCCCAGGCAGCGCTTCAGGACGGGGGCTCTCTTTCACTCAAACGCCAGCGCCACCAGCCTCATCAAACTTGGCCCAGATGGTGACTGTACAGAGGGTGGAACATTTGCCTTGCATGCAGCCGACCCAAGTTCAGCCTGGCACCCCACATGGTCTCCTGAGCCTGCGGGAGTGACCCCTGAGGGTCGAGCACTGCTGACTGTGGTCCCCAAACAAAAACAAACCCCCCCATCACAAAAGTGTTTATGTGTGTGTAGACAGATATGTAACTGCTTTATTCTTTGACTTCTGTTATGGGGGAGACACAACTGGCAGTTCTCGGGGCTGTTCCCGACGCAGTGCTTGCGGGCATTGAGCCCGGCCTTAGCTCCTGTCCATCTCTCCCACCTAAATTGTTCCTTAGACTGAGTCAGTTGCTGGAGTCGAGAGCGCTCCCTCCTGAGCCCTGGGTTCTGGCAGCCTGTGATCTAGTTCCAGAGCTGACCGTGTTTCTGCGTGAAGGTGCCCGGGGGTCGTCCGTGAGCTCTGAACTGGCACTACCCGCTCCAAGTGGGCGGCTGGGACTCACCCGGCCACCAGCTCCTAGGAGCTCTCGGCGCGGGCAGAGCTGGTCTGCGGGGGGGGTGCTGGTCTGTGACTCAGTCTGCGGGGGCAGCCCCGCCCCCAAGGGTGGTCTTCACTGCTGCAGTGCCACGGGGGTCGCCAGGGGAGGGTCAGGGGAAGGCCCGCGGGCCCTGTCCTGCACACAGGGTTTCTGCACCGGGAGCTGGGGAGTAAGAAGGGCTAGAGGGGCCATGCGGGCAGCGGGCGCCTCCTGTGACAGTGCTCTCAGGCGGGACTCGGGTGCTCTGGGGATAGGAGTGACGTACGTGGAAGGTAAGATGACAAACGCTCAAGACCACCCACTCCCAGCTCAGACGGGACTGTCGGCCCGCGGTACCTCCTTTCTCTCCTCAGGGCTCTCTCCTTGGGGGGGTGGCACCTCCTCTTCCCTGACTCCTTTCCTCCGGCGTTTAGAAGTCAGACGCTGGTTTTTGTGTCCTCGGGATGAAATGGAAATGTCAGCAGGATTTTTCTTCTCTTGCAGCTTCAGGTCGACTGGGACAAAATCAGAGCCAAGATCGAGCTGGAGCTCACCAAGGAGCGGGAGCGCGCGGCCGGCGGCCAGCCCAGGGGCTCGGGCCTGAAGCTCTGATGGGGCGGCCCCTCCCGCAGGAGCCAGGGCGGGTCTGCCGTGGGCCCTGCTGCGCTGTCACACACGCAGTCTCTGGGGAGGGTCAGGCACCAGCAGGCCACTGGGGGCCGGTGCCCGCAGGGTGCGGTCTGATGCTCTCCACGGAGGGCTGCCTGCTGGGCCCAGCCCCATCTCCTCTTTCATAAGATTTGGTATTTTTCTAGTCCAAGACGACAAAGTGTCCCTAGGTATTGGTGACATATTTATGTCCCCGCCCCCATCCATCTGTCGCCTTCCCCCGAGCCCTCAGCATAAACGACTCGAGTGCGGACACCAGCCTTGGTGCTTCTCCAGGATGTGACCCCTCAGCATCTGCCGGGTGCTTTACCAAGGCACCGTGGCCAGTGGGGGCCAAAGTAGGGGTGGCACGATGCTGGTCAGGTGGCCACCAAGCGGGTCCCAGCTGCCCCCAGGGAGCGGCTTCAGAGCCGTGCCAAGGGAGCGGGGCCCACATGGGGGCCTGAGCTTGGGCGTCCGGCCAGGCATGTGGGCGCAGGGCACTGGGCATGGTGGTGAGCACGGGGCCTGTGAGTCCCGCCTGCTGCCAGTGGCCATTCAGCTACGTCTGTTCTCCCCAAGTTCAGCAAAGGTCAGACAAAGGATGGTCTCTGCCCGCCTCTGGTGACTGAAGGACGCCCAGGCACCAGCCCTGAGGGCGTGGCCTGGGCAGCTCCTCAGTGACAGCCGGGCCGACACCTTGATCCAGTGTGGCCTGAAGTCCTCCTTAGCACGCAGCTTCCTTCCACACTAGCGCACGCCTTCGAGAGCCTCCTGAGACTGTGTCTTGGACTGTGGGGCTGAGGGTGGGTTGTGCCCGGCTGGGGGCAGCGCCACTCCCGCCCCGCCCTGGCCACTCTCCGCTCCCGGGGAAAGTGTGTCTGTGTGTCTCTCGGCCCATCTTATCTTTCCGGGAATATTTCCTGGACTCCCTCCAGATGCAGGACAGGGTTCTGCTGAGTCGCTAATATCTGATGGCATTGTCGTCTTTCTACGTTTAAATATATTTTCTGGATCATAATTCAATAAAAAGCTCAAAAATAAAAATAGCCAAAGTGTAAATTTCCTATTACGTTCGTTTTCTGCCATTTTAGAAGGGGGAAAAAAAAAAGAAACTACGTCAGCACACCCAGCCTGCTCTGAAGCCCAGGAGTGTTCTACGGTTTCTCTCCTCTCGTCGGTATCGATCCACAGTTAGAGGACAGAACCCCGATTTCAGGGGTCTCCTAAGGCTGCTCGGGGTCTCCCAGGCTTCTCGGCCAGGCCATAGGTTCCATGTGAAGAACCACGGCCAGTGCTGGGGGTCCTTACGCCCCCCCACCCCCACCTCGTGCTGATTCATCAGGAGTCTCTGGATACTCACTACCCCGAGTGTCCACAGACGCCAGACAAGGGGCCTCAGCACAACTGTGGGTCCACCAGCCGGAAGCCCCCTGGGCCTTGGGACCCCCAGTGTTTTCTTGGGCTCTTCTGGAAGCTGGGCAGTCACCGAGCTTGGAACCCAAGTCACCCCAGCCCTGAAGCTGACCCCCTGCCCCCTGGTATCACTGCCGCTGCGTCCCGCTCCTCTGTCTGAGAGAACTCTCCACACCCTCCCCCTTGCCCCCAGGAAATGCCCACCGAGGCCAGACTGCAGGCCAGAAGGGGGCACACCTGTTTCCACCAACAGGAGACAGGTGACCCCTTGTCCCCCAACCCCTAATTGTTTTCAGCGCAGAGTGGGGGCGAGAGAGACAGGGCAGGGGCTCACTCTCCAGCCCTGCCCCCATGTGATCCTGGGCTTGGCCCCCCACACAGGATCAAGAAAATGGGAGCACCAGGCTCAGGGCATCTTCCTGGACCCCGGGACCCCCACCAGCTGGAGGGGAGGCAGCCCTGGGCTGGGCGGAGTCACCGCACCCACCCTCACAGAACCATAAATCCTGTCCCACATCCCAGCTGGAAGCTCAGAGGTCTCTGCGGACGGTCCCCTTCTGCCTTGGGAATCTAAACAGCCGTAACTGAGGAGCTATTTCTCTCCTGGCACTGGGCGTTCCACCATCATGCCCGAATCTCTGGTTCTCACTTTGATGCTGAAGGTACCAAAAAAATGAAGGAGTTTCCATTTTGAAATATTGGATGCGATTTCTCAACTACTTTTAAAGAAACGCTTTTTATTTTATATCTTTTCACATTTTGGAGGCCACGTCCAACTGTGTTCAGAACTTACTCCTGGCTCAGTGCTCAGGGATCACTCTTAAGAGGAGTGCTTGGGGGACCCTACGCAGTACCAGAGAGTAAACCCAGGTCAGCAGCCTGCAAGGCAAGTGCCTTCACCCCTGTGCTCCCTCTCCAGTCTTGAGAAATATTTTTCCCATTTTGAAAGCCAGGAGGGAGATAGTGCCGAGGACGTGCTCAGATGAGGCAGACACGGTCTCTAAGCCGCTGGTGTTAAAGTGTTTCTTGCTTTTTCCTGGGAAGCATTTCTGAGTTCCACAGATGTACCGACGGTCCTGGCCGCAAAATGTCTGTGCTAAGCTGCCCGCGACAGAGACCTTGGCCTGCTATGAAGAGACCTTAGTCCCATGAGGGAGCGCCAGGGCGGCGGGGGGGGGCGGGGTACCCCTCGTGGGCAGGCGCTTCTGGGAGCTTGTCACCTCAAAGCCAGACCCTCCTGGTTCCTCGCTCACTGGCCGAAGGGACTGGTCACCCTCAGCTCCCCACCGTGTTTTTTGCTTGCTTTTTGTTTTGGGGGGAGGGGGACACACCTTAGAAAGCCTGGGTGATGCTTGTGACCAGGTGTGCTGGGGACCAAATCTGAGCCTCCAGCTGCCAAACCCACCTCTCATGAACCTTCAGTGAAACAAGTATGAAAAATGCCAGCCGCTGTGGCTGCCCAGATGAGCACTGGATGAGTGAGTCACTTGTCAGGATCTTCCACGTGAGACTGTGGCAGGGGTTCTCCACTGCCCCCACCGAGTTCGCTCTGTTCTTTGGCAGAAAGGCCGAAAGAGCTCTTGTTCTGGGTTTTGAAACTTTATTTAAACACTGTGATTGACAAAGTTGTTCATAAGACACTTGTTCTGGGCATTCGGTGTCCTAACACCCGTCTTGCCACCCGTGTGGCCTACCCTACACCAATGTCTAGCTTCCCACCCACCGCCCAAGCCTGCCTCCTCAGCAGGCACAAAACAATTCACAGTCCAAAAAATCGCAAAAGGCATTATCAAAAAGTAGTTCAGTGAAAGCAGCTTCGTGGAGGCTGCTCTGTCTCGCAATGGTGGTGCTGGAGTCAGTGTCGGGGCTTCCGACGCTGTGTTGCCTCTGCCCACTGAGCTCGGCGGGGCGTCTGGGCAACATTCCCGCCTGGCTTGCTGCGCTCCTGCCGGGCTCTTGGTGCTGTGGGATGTGGAGGTGGGCTCTGGGTGCCATGGGACGCAGCTGCGCACGGCAGGAGCTATGAGACTGGGACACAGAGCAGCGTGTGTCCCTGAGGCTAGCTGAGGAGAGGAGCCATGCGCGTGCCTGAGGGTGTGGGAGCGGGGGGGGCGCAGGGCGGGAACTCAGCCCACCCCAGCCCAGGAAGGCTTCGGAGTCCCCAGCCCAGAGGCCAGGCTTCCAAGGACGCTTCAGTGGCTTGACTTCTCTTCTGAGATCAGCTGTGGAGCGGCTCGTTTCCATGCTGGAGGACGTAGCGTGTGGGTGGGGGCTGCTGGGCCTTCTGGCTGGATGTGGGTGGGGGCGGGGGAGGCTGCCCACCCCCATTCTGAAAAGGCTGCAGGGTTCTCAGCCGAGGGGTTGCTCTGTCTGGGCCGGTTGGGCGGCTTGGCGTCTCCGTGACATCAGTCACACCGGGGTTATAACGCAGCGTGCACCCGCACCCAGAGTTCACTTCCAAGGGATGGAACAGCCAGAAGGCAAACGCTGCTCTGCACTCTAGAAGTCAGTTTACATCCCGTTTGCCAAGGGTGCATGGTGGCTGACGGTTAGGAAATGCAGCGAGGCTCCCGCAGAGAGCAGGGGAGCACTCCAGGGGAGCACTGCACAGGAGCACTCCAGCCAAAGGCAGAAGAAACCACCGCAGAAAACCTGAGAGTACCCAGAAGCAACGGCTCCCAGGGGCTGGGCTGGTCCCAGAGGAAGAGGGGACTCACTGCAAGGGTCTCCGAGCAGCCACGATGGGTGTGGACTCGGAAAAGAGTCGCAAAGGTCCTGGGGCAGCTCCCAGGGCGAAGGGGAGAAGCAGAGCTTCTAGCCAGACCTGGAAACATCAGCAACCCTCAGGTGGGGGTTCGGGGGAGACTGAATCTATATCAGACCCGCAGGCATGAGGACAAAGCTGGCGGGTAGCAGGGACCCCTGAATCTGACAAGTGCTAAGAACTCTGGGGACCGCTCATGGGCTGGGGGACAAGCGACATGCACGGAGACCCCTGGGCACTTCCTGCAGGAGATCTGGAAAGGGGTAGGGTCTTCTTAAGCCCTCGAGAGACTCATGGCAAGTCCCTGCTCTCAAAACTTGCCCGCCGGAAACAAGTAGTAGAGATTAGATGTATCGTAGGAAGGTTGAGAAAACCAGAAGTGGGAAACAGCCACGGGGAAAAAGCGTGACAATAATACCGGAGAAATCCGAGCAATGGCAGAACAGAACTTATACCAAGAGCACACAATTTTAACCCAAAGAAAATGGGAAAGACGGTACAAGGCTGTTTTTAAAAGACCCCAAGTTAAACCCTGAGTCAAGAGCTACCCGTGATTTACTGAAACTGCCCAGACAACAGAAACTGCAGGTTCTGACTCTGGGGAGGTAAACACGTAGGGCCGAACCCCCACAAGTCGACTCTAGTGCGGGTGAAGAAACATGATTACGCCGATGGCAGTAAGGACGAACCAGGAGTTGTGGGCCAGGAAATCTCTGAGATCCTTAATAACATGAACCTGAAATTCGAAAAGCAGATGCGTGTGGAGAGAACTCATGGGCTGGCAGCCCAGTACAAGACCCACAGACAAGCGTCGAGCCACATCCAAGAATGTGAGCCGGAGCCTATCAGGTGGGTGATGGGGAGCCTCAGGGAAGGGAAGATGCAGTGAAGGAAGGTTGAGGTGGGGCTCCCCCATCCCCTGGAGGCAGCACAGGCAACAGCAAGGAGCCCGTAGATACCAGGAGAATGCGGTGGAGAGCATCATAGCGGGTTCGTGGGGGCGGGAGCGAGGCAACGGGCTGGGACCCCTGCTAGCCTGGCCGCCTGCAGCACTGGACAGGGGGAGGAGAAGCCAGCGGACGTGAAAGCCACAAAGGACAAATGGAGCACTGTGTCCCAGGAGAGGATGTAAATAAAATTTGAACCAGTACAACTGATGGTGAATACAGAAGAGCAAATCACAGCCACCCAAATGGAACAGGAAGAAGGGGTGGGGGTGGGGGGGATTGTTCAGGGCCACACCTGGAGGTGGTGCTCAAGGGTCACTCCTGGCTCCGCACTCAGGAATTCCTCCTGGTGGTGCTCAGGGAGCCATATGGCATCAAACCCGGTCGACCAAAGGCCCTCCCTGCTGCCCTATCACTCTGACCCCAACGGTGCCTAATAGCACACTTGAACCCTTTGCGAACTGAGAGGGAGCGGGGAGGGCTGACAGTCCTTCCAGAAAAATCCAGAGGAGGAAGCAGAAAACCAAAGAGGTCAATCAAGACTTATTCCTTGGAGAGCTAGGAAAATCCAAATCCTTGCTGGAGAGATGTCAAGATGGGCCCCGCGCCCAGCACGGCTGAGTCATTTCACAGAAAGGAGCAAGAAAGCTGCCCTCCAGGCAGAGAAAGAAAAGGCCCCGTCACTCGGAGGCAAGAAACTGGCCTTCCGACGCGAGTCCCGAGGTTGGTCTCCAGGACTGCCCCCAAATCAATACGTAAAGAAAGCAAAACCACCCGATCAGCCAGGTCCCCAGGCCTTCAGGAGCCCTGGCGACAGTTCGGCGTGGCCCCCAGAAGGTCCGAAGGGGGGTGTGGTTGGGAAAGGAGCCGACCCCTCAGTGTAACTGTGCAGAATTGAAAGTGCCACACGAAGGCCCGAGAGCGCCGGCACAGGGAAGGCGTTTTCCTTGCCCTCTGCTGACCCAGGTTTGATCCCGGCACCCACACCCTCCCCACCACGCCCAGAAAATAAGTTTGGCGGTTCCTGCTTAGGTTGGGTGCCAGGAATGGAAGCCAGGCCGGCCACGTGCAAGGCAAATGCTCTACCCACCAAACCACCACCCTGCCCGAGTTTGTTTATTATAACGTGGAGGCCTGGAGAGGCCCACGGAGAGAGATTTGACATGGGGGGGTGGGAGGCCTGGCAGGCAGCTGCTTCCAGGGAGAGGGAACTCGGTCCCCTGGTCATTGCAGAGACAGGGCAGCAGTGGGCAGGAGGCCATAAACAACTGCCGGCCTGGGCTCAAGTCCAGCACTGCCTCTGATTCCACGACAGTAGGCGCTCGGCACCGGGTGCGACCCAGCCCTCCGCCCCCAAAGCAAAGTGAAATCTGATGATTCTGTATGTTAAAAAAAGGGGGGGGGGAGGGTTTTGGGTCACACCAGTGGCAGTGGTAATACTGGGTCCTCAAAACAATTCCAACTCTGTTCTCTCCATCCAGACATTCAAATGAAGGATGACTCACAGCGGCTTTAACATAGGCGCTGCAGGGCACTCTCTAAGTCGGAATGCCACGTTTGTATTTTTAACCCACTCAGCTCTGACTCTGTCTACTCGACAGGAAGGGAGATGTGAGGCTGGAGAACCGCCAGGGTGTCTCTGGCAGTTGGCATCACTCCTTCCCCTTGTTCCTTCCAAGGAACCCGGTTCCCAGTGGGGAGCTTCTGCCTTTGACACAGGTGCTCCTGGCCCCTGCTCTCCCAGTGCACTGACTAAGGCGGTCATCACCTTACCCCCAGGCACTGCCCCCTGCTGCACCACTGAAGCCCAATAAGGAGTTGCTCTGGGGCCACTGGTCATTTCACACATGTTGCTCAGAAACTCAAGACTGGGGCTGGAGCAATAACACAGCGGGTAGGGCATTTGCCTTACATGCGGCCAGCCTGGGTTCGATTCCCAGCATCCCATATAGTCCCTTGAGCACTGCCAGGGGTGATTCCTGAGTGCAGAGCCAGGAGGAACCCCTGTGCATCACCAGGTGTGACCCAAAAAGCCAAAAACAAAAGAAAAAAAAGAAAAGAAGGAAGGAAGGAAGGAAGGAAGAAAGAAAGAAAGAAAACTCAGTTCTGTCTGTTAGCATCCCAGGTGATTTCTCACCCTCCCCAGGAATGAATATCCATTCCCACTTACTGAGAAGTCAGCGGAAATAAAATGGGCTTGACGTGTGTTAGGATGGGAATTAATTTGATGGCTGCGAACAAGGAGCAAAAGCTTAGTGCTGGGGAGAGTGGGCGTTCCCAATCTCCAGGGTGCGTTGGGTGAAGACGGAGCCAGGTGACTATCTGGCAACAAATAGATAAGCGAGATGCAGAGATGGTAGAGGCCGGTGGAAGGAAGGTCGATTGTGCGTGTGTGTGTGTGTGTCTGTCTGTCTGTCTGTCTGTCCTTCCACTGCCTAGAGCAGAAAACTAAAAGTAAAACCAGCATCTCACCATGGATTATGCTCAGCCGACACTGTAACTCTTTTCTACACCCATGAATACATGAGAACACATGTATGTTCTGCCTGTATAACAAGTAACTTCCAGGATGCATTTTAAATCTGACCAACTAGCTTGTAATGCTATTAAAGAAATATTTCTACCTGGGCCTTCTGGCCTCATAAACAGAGGCCCTATGTGTGGCCCTCATCCCTAGTTACTCAGGGCTGTTTTCCACATTGTCTGGACAAAATTGTGCCTGGAAAATCAATGAGTTAGAAGAGAAAAAAACAAAAACGGTCAAAGGCCAACCAAGGAAAACTCCAGTGGATTGAGTTGAGGGTGTGAGTAAGTGCTTGTCTGATGTGCAGAGGCCAAAGGCGTCAGCAAAACACTGACCACGGTGATGCCCAGAGGGGGGCCGCACTGTGTGGACCTCAATCCAGGGCACCGAGGGGACATCGTATGTTGCCTTCCACAGTAGAAGCGCATCCCGGCATTCTCTTGTCAAGTTAAGGTCCCAGTGTAATAACATAAGGGGAATTTATGACCCTGGAGCCAGTAACTGCATATTCAGGTGCAGTCCTAGATATGGGCACATGTGAGAGACAGTGTATTCCCTCCCACGGCAAATGAAAAGCCTGGTGACATCCTCATTTAAATACTGGGGGCATTATTAGCAACATCTAATTAAATTCACAAATGCCTGAGAAACATTAATATGTGTGGTAGTCGATGGAACGTGACTCCATCAAAGCTTCCCCTCTTCTCCGTCCCTCAACCCCTGCTGCTTTTGCCAATGAACAGCTTAAAAATTGCTTTTCAAGAACCAAGATTCGCGTTTCCTCACTCAACACATCTCCATGTCGCCACACATCTGCTAGTTTGCAACAGACTTTAATGTCGTTTCGTTTCTAACACACGGCAAATGAATTTCCTTTCATAACAGAAGTTTAAACTTAACCACTGTCCTTGGTTACAGTTCATTTTCAGATCCAGAACCGCCAGGCTCTCCCAGTTCACTTTTTTTTTAATGTAGGAGTACTGCTATTTATTCAGCCACTGATTAGGCTGATTGAATTGGGCATGAACTCCACCAGTTCACTTGTAAACATTTAAAGCAATCAAATCAAAACTGTTTCGGCTAATCCAATTCAGGCATCTTAGGATTCCTCGGAAGTGTCAGAGTTTTCCCATCAAAGGACAAGTGCTTTTAGGGACACCTGTGTCTATACTTCGCCAATGTAATACCCCCCTCCACCAGACACCTTGTTCCGCTTTTACATCAGAGACCACGACGATTACAAGGTGTTGCAGCATATGCGCACCACACGGAAAGCACTGGGAGATATTTTATAGCACGGTTTGCTGCAAGCACATTGCAGAGACTGGAAAACGGCAATAGATGCTTGTTTGTTATTTTTCTCTCACCGTGAGTAGAATGCGCCCTTCCCCGGGACATCAGCACACCACACCAGAGTTACAAAGTCCGCCCAAGGAAAGGTGCCTCCACGAAGCACGGCGGGGACACAGTGACGCAGGCTCCACGAGTCGTTGTTACCAAAGGTTCTCGAGTATGCCCCCGTAGTAAAAATAAAGTGTATTCCTCTCCAGCTGTGAAAATCAGATGGCCCTCGTGGTCTCCACGACGCGACGTCCTCTCCATCAGCCCGCCACCCGGAATTCCGCTTCTGGAGGTGCAACACCACTTGCGTTTCCCGGGGCAACCAGCGAAGGGATGGACACCAACGCCACCTAAGGAGGCGGCGTCTCCTCCGGTCCCGGGGAACCAAGGGGCCAACGGTCCCTGACTCCAGCCCGAGTCTTGGGCCCGAGCAGCCGCCGCGGGACGCGCGCGCGGGGGTCCCCGCCCTCGGCGGCCAGAAGGTCCCGCGCGCGCGGAGTCCGGGCGGGGGGGCGGGGGGGCGGTTCCCGGCCGGGAAAGGGCGCGGGCGCTCCGGGGCGCGGGCAGCGGGGCGGCTGCTCGGGCCCAAGACTCGGCTGCTCGGGGGGCAGCTCAGATGAGCGGGAAGCGGCCCCGCGCGGCCGGCTCGCGCGCGCCCAGCTGCTGCAGCCGCATGGACTCCTCGTAGGTGGGCAGGTACTTGACCTCGTCGTAGCTGGGCAGCTGCAGGAAGGCGGGCGCCAGGGCGCCGTCGGGGCCGGCGCGGTCCAGCAGCGAGTCCTGGGAGCCCGCGGCCGCGTCGTCGGGGGGCAGCAACGCGGGCGCGTCGGCGGCGTCGGGGCCGGGGACGGCGGCGGCGGCGGCGGCGGGGCGCGGCGCGGGCCGGCGCGGGCTGGGGCAGATGATGCGCTGCAGGAAGTAGCCGATGGCGAAGAGCACCAGCAGGATGAGCAGCCCCGAGAGCTTGCGGACGAACCAGCCCACGCCGTCCAGGAAGGCGTGCAGGGGCGGCGCGCAGCAGCGCGGGGTCGTGCCGTTGGCCGCGGCGCAGCAGCGCTCCCGCTCGCCGCACGCCAGCTCGGCGCAGCCGCCCGCGCCCCGCGACGGCGCCCCCCGCGCGCCCCGCGCCCCCAGCGCCAGCAGCGGCAGCAGCAGCAGCAGCAGCAGCCGGGGGGCCTGCATGGTGGCCGGAGCCGCCGGCGCGCTCAGCCCCGCGCGCCCCCCGCCGCGGGCATCGCGCCCCCCGCCGCCGGCGCCCGTCCCCGCAGCGCTCCCGCCGCGCGCGCCGCCGGGGACCGCCGGGCGTCCCGCTCGCTCGCGCGCGCGCCGATTAAAAATGCATGAGGGCCATTAGGGCCCGCGCGTCCACCCCCTCGCCCGGCCCCGCGCGGAGCCGCGCTCGGCCACCCCGCCCGCGGGCAGCCCAGCGGCGCGCGGGGTCCGGGCCGGCGCGGTCAGCGGCTCAAGGTCACTCCTCTCGGGCGAGCCGGGCGCCCCGCCGCCCCGTTTTGTTTCTGTTCGGAGACCGCAGCTGGCCGTGCGCAGGGACAACTCCCGGCTCGGTGCTCAGGGACCACTTCGGGAGGGGCCGGGGGCGGGAGGGCGGGGAGACCACGCGGGGTGCCCGGGTCGAGAGACAAGAGCCCGCCCGCCCTGCCCGAGTGTCTCTCTGGCCCCTATTTTTTGAAGTCGGTGTCTTTAGGGGCTGCTTCACCTGCTCCCCTGCCACACCCTCCTCCCCCCACATTCCCCAGCATCTTCAGGGCGCTGAGCAATGCTGGGAGCTGCCAGGAGCTTTATTTGTTTATTTTTTTCTTTTACAGGAGGCAGATTGGGACAATGACAGTGATCTTGGTAGCATTTGGATTTATTCATCCCTACATCCCAACACCTCCTTAAAAATGCGGGACCTTGGGGGCTGGAGAGATAGCACAGCTGGTAGGGCGTTTGCCTTGCATGCGGCCGACCCGGGTTCGATTCCCAGCATCCCATATGGTCCCCTGAGCACCGCCAGGAGTAACTCCTGAGTGCAGAGCCAGGAGTAACCCCTGTGCATTGCCAGGTGTGACCCAAAAAGCAAAAAAAAAAAAAAAAAAAGGAAAAAAAATGCGGGACCTCCCACCAGCGCGCGCGCACACACACGACAGGGAAATTCCATGAGTTGAAAGAAAAAGGACTCGACAGGAAGTAACGTGGGACTGACAGTGGGTCCGTGAGGGCAGAGCCTTGGGACTCGGTTTACCTCCCTGCAGTCCTGGGCCTCGTGCTGCTCAGACAGAGCCGTCTTCCCCGGCCCCAAGCTTAGCATTTAAAATATTTCTACTGCTGGAGAGGTCGGGGTTCCATATCTCCCCTGGTGCTGCTCCTGCACCACGCCCCTTTTGTAAAGCTGCTTAGGGAGATAAGGGGTAAAATGATCCACATTCAAGCCCCAGCAAATGTATCCTTCCTCCGTGCACCCATCCATCCCTTAGCTGACGTTTTTGACAGTCACTCTCTGGTAGCTGCTGGGGTGACAGAGACAGTTAATGGCCTCAAGGGAGCCCAGGTCCGCCCGGCCAGGCGTGGCAGAACCCCGGCAAGGCTGCCTTTGTGCCTGTGCTGCCTGGCCGTCCTCCCCAAAGGACAGACCATGAGTCGGGTGCAGGGAGATACGGGCCTCCGGCTCTCAGGGGTCCTGCCGCAGCTTAGGGCCAATGGCTGCAGTCCAGGAGGGAGTGACTGATGACACTTTAAAAAAAATTTAATGAAACACTGTGAGATAGAATTGCAGACTTACACACTTTCGTGATTATGTTTCAGTCATACAACGGTCGAGTACCCAGCCCTCCACCAGCGCCCATTCTCCACCACCAATGTTTCCAGTATCCCTCCCGCCACCCCCATCCTGTCCCCTGCTGCCTCTGTGGCAGGCACATTCCCATTTACTCTCTCTCTCCTTCTGGGTGTTGTGGTTTGCAGTACAGGTAGTAAGTGGCCATCATGTTTGGTCTATAGCCTACTTTCAGCACACATCTCCCATCCGGAGTGAGGCCTCCAAGCATCCTTTGCTTGGTGGTCCCTTCTCTATCTCAGCTGCCTTTACCCCCAGCATGTGAAGCTAGCTTCCAAGCTGTGGAACAATCCTCCTGGCCCTTATCTATACTATCGTTGGTGTTTGTCTCCCATATGCGACTTTTTATATTCCACAAATGAGTGCAGTCCTTTTATGTCGGTCCCTCTCTTTCTGACTAATTTCTCTTAACATGATACTCTCCATGGCTGAGGATGCTTTGGAGAAAGCACCCTGCTTGTCTTGTTCTGTTTCACCTTGTTTTCTTTCATCTGGGTCCACACCCTGCAGTACTGGGGGAACCGTGTGGCATTGGGGATCCCAGCAGGGGCTACAGCCCTCTCAGTCATCTCCTTCACCCCTGCTTGTTAGTTTGGAATTTTGCAACGTGCAGCATCGATGCTTCGCATTTCTCAGGCTGCTTCTAAGGAGTTAGAACTTGCAGGAGCGTCCGGAGAAGGGGCCCCACAGGGCCTTGGAGGCGGCTGCGGACAGGGAGACAAAGCAAAGGGTCCTGTCTCTACAATGAGCTCAGGACAGATTCTGATCAGCTTCTCTTCTTCCCAAATGGCCCCAGCGTGCCCAGCAGCCAAGACCCTCAGCAGGCTCGCCAAGCATTCCTTCTGGCCCCATCTCGCCGGAGCACTTAATTATTCGTATCCACAGTGTGATTTATCGTGCACGAGCCTCTGAAGGAAGAGAAAGCCGCTCTGGCGGGGGAAGCCCCGGGCAGACAAGCTCATCCTTGCCCCCCTCCCCCCTCTCTTGGCTCTGGGCAGACTTGGTGCCAGGAGGCCAACAATCCAGTCTCTTAGCGAGGACTGCAGACTTAACCCTGACGTGTCCTAGAACACCGGAAACATGACCGAAAGTCTCGGTGCCACACGTAAAAAGAAACCCCCTTTGGGGCTGGAGTGATAGTATAGTGGGTACTTGCATGTGGCCGATGCGGGTTCGATCCCTGAAATTCCATAGGATCCACCGAGCACTTCCAGGAGTAATTCCTGAGTGCAGAGCCAGGAGTAACCCCTGAGCATCACTGGGTGTAACCCACAAAGCAAAAAGAAAGAAAAGAAAAGAAAAAGAAGGGGCTGGAGCAATAGCACAGCGGGTAGGGCGTTTGCCTTGCACGCGGCCAACCTGGGTTCAATTTCCAGCATCCCATATGGTCCCCTGAGCACCGCCAGGGGTAATTCCTGAGCGCAGAGCCAGGAGTAACCCCTGTGCACTGCTGGGTGTAACCCAAAAAGCAAAAAAACAAAACAAAACAAAAAAACCCATTTGATTGCAAGTGGGCCCCAAGCGGTGGTGTGTACAAGGGAAGGCTCGGAGGGAGGGGCTGGGCCGAGCCTTGCCCAAGGCCGGGGCTGGGTAGTGCTGAAGGGAAAGTCCCAAAGCAGGAGCCAAAGAGGGAGTTTGAGGGAGCTGGCCAGGAATGACCCCCAAGTATAGAGCCAAGAGTTAGCCCTGAGCACTGCCTCTCCCCAAATAAAAAATAAAAGGCTTGAAAGCACTTTCTCATCCTCATTTATTTATTCCTCAGATGCATAGAGGGCCAAAAAGCCTCCTTTCCAGCTTCTAGAACAGAAGAAGGTGAACAGAAAGCCACAGGGTTGGCGGCTCTTTCCGGTGCTGGGGTCCCGGGGGTGGGGGGCGTTTGTGCTCCCACTGAAGGCGTCTGGCATTCGCCAGCTGTGGACTGAATCTGGGGCACGGTCACCCCACCTGCTCAGGCTTCAAAATGAGTGAACAGGGCAGTGGGACCATGCGGGTGCCCCTTCCCCCGGGCATAAGGAGGCCCCACCCCGACTTCCTGTCTGCCACACTTTACTGCAATTTATTTATTTAGTTATTTTTGCTTTTTGGGTCATACCCAACGATGTACAGGGGTTCCTCCTGGCTCTGCACTCAGGAATTCCTCCTGGAGGTGCTCAGGGGACCACATGGGATGCTGGGAATCGAACCCGGGTGGGCCGCGTGCAAGGCCAACACCCTCCCCACTGCGCTATCGCTCCAGCCCCCTGCCATTGACTTATGAGCCTCCTCATTTTGGGGTGCCCATGCTCCATCTGCACCATATTTTCCCTGAACCAATTGGGTTTTCCCAGAAAGAGCAGAGTTCTGCACGAGGGTCCCTGCTGTGGAGCCAGCGGGCGTCAGGGACTGTGGGCTCCGGCGGTCTCTCCAGACCCCGTCCCTCTTACCAGGCACTCTGGGAGCGAGGGTCTGCACAGTGCCGGGGGGACCAGGAAACTTCCTTCCTTGCCTTCCAGGAGCTCCTGGGGCAAGAGCGAGGCCCACGAGCAAAGGTCAGGTCCAGACCAGTGAGTGCAAACCTCGACCCGTGGGGGCAGGTCAAGCACAGCAAGAGGTAAGTCCAGACGAGGAGAATTCCAGAAGGGGGGCACCCCGCCACGGCCTGTCTCCAGCCTGGCACTGGTTGGTAGCCCTATGTGCGCTGAGTCCAGCCCAGCTCCCAGTCCAAGCCTGGGGCCAGTGGGTCCTGGGCCTGCAGCGGTCACCCCTGGCCCCAGGCCGGTGGTGCTAGAGTTGGAGTCCACTTCCTGCAGTGGGTGCTCCCAGCTGAGGTACTGGCCGGCCCGGACACTGGCGGTGACACCCAGTGCCCTTCAGTGAACCCAGCCCCTGGCCCGTCGCCCTCTGCTTTCCCCTCCTGGCTGGACCAGGGGCCGGGTGGTCATTATCGTCCCCTTTGCCAGGTGATGGGGGATTCAACAGCGCCAACCCCGATCCTAGTCGTGATTTGGGGTCAGCTCAGGATGGGGTGCAGGGCACAGACCCCAGGAGGAGAGACTCTCCTCCCTTCCCACCCCCCAGCTTCTGCGGGGGGGGCGGTCAGCTTTAAGGAAATCGGTGAAGGTTGAGTTGGATGCTTATTCGGCACCGCGGATCGGAGATTCTTCTGGGGAAATAAAGCTTTTGCTTCTGATACTTCCGAAGCCACTTTCCGTAAGCCACGAATAATGGGTCAGATGGTTCTGAGGCAGGCAGCCATTTGCACCCAGAATCCGCTTCATGCACGCCAAGCTGCCCT